TGTCCTTAAATATAATATATTTTTTAATAAATAATGTTCTACTATATTAAACTTTATTATTATTATTATTATTATTATTATTATTATTATTATTACATAATAATAATGCCCTTGTTCTACTTACTCTGACATTTTAATACTACTTTTGATTGATTTTCAATATGACCTTACTTTCATTCATAGAAGTTGTTTTGACTGAATGTTGTACGTGTGTGTGATCCTTTTTTTACTTCCGAAATAGTGTATTACGTCAAACCCACTAGATATTTTCTATGAATTGTCGTTCTCGATTCAATTAGACAGTCGGTTAGTCAGTTAGTCAGTCAGCTACAACGTAGGGCAATGTACATATATGCATCGGTCCAAGTTTCCATACCTCATTAGCACAACAAGATGAACAATGAAGTCATAGAAGTAGTTTATTCAATGGTGGTAGCATATAAAAGAAAGAAAGATATAAAACAATTTTAATCTCATAGTTTAAGGGAAGACAATGCATGTATACACCTACATCATTGTGATCGATTCTGAACCATGTCACCCAGTCTCCAACCATTGGTTATGATAGTCACACCCCAACCAAGTAGGCTACGTCTACCAATATGGCTAAGACTAAAAGTTAGTGACTTTGTGGACTGATGTCACATTTTGGTTTGGCCGCTTCTAACTTTCTTCTAACCGTCTCCAACACTTGTCTGTATTGCGCGTCGTGGTAATCGGTGTTCAGGCATACGTAACACGTGGCCCAACCATCTCAGTCGATGAAGATTTACAGCCTTATCAACTGATTTACCAGCATTTGTAAATACTCTGCGTCTAACCTGCCGATTACTCACCCCCCCGGTGGTCTGAGCAGATGCAAGTACTATTTTCAAGACATCTATGATCAAATACTAGTAACTGATGCGTATCTCCTGTCATTAACGGGCACGTTTCGCATCCGTAAAGTAGAACAGAACAAACTGCTGCTCATTATACTTGTATTACAATTGATAGGCGGATATCTCGCCTCTGCACTTTGTCAGCGTCTTCATCAAACAAACATTGCGATTTGCGTATTTTAAGTGAATAAGTGAGTGTCCTGTTAGGAGATCAACTCCCGAAAATTCAGTGTATGTGAAAAGTATTTCCAGCAGTATATCTATAATGAAATGAAACAAGAATGAAGATAATGGACAGCCTTACCGGAAAGCACTTGAGGTTGCAAAATCAGATGACATTTGGTCATAAACTCTGACTCGTCTGGTAGTGTTTGAGTAAAGAGCCTTCACGAGGTTTATGTACTTCTGGGGTGTCACCCTCGTTCGGATTATTCTTTCTAAACTTATATCTATATTCCGTAAGGTATGTCTGTGTATTTGTGTTTGTAAGCACAAAAATATGCTCAACGGCATTAATATTAAAATAATCCTTCACTAGTTATTTTCAATTTGGTTGTTGAATTGCGTTAGGTTCCTGTTCGTCGAATGGTTTGATCCCCTTTAATTCCATACGCATTACATATTGTTTTTCCAAAGTCTTTTTCTTTGTTTTACTAAGAAATTCCCATACACTAAGCATTCTTCATTTTTGTAACTATCAAAAACGTTATTTTGGGATACTTCGCATTGTTTTCAATATCAATTAGAATATCGTTTTTTGGATTTGACTTGTGAAATGAATTGAGAAATGCTATACTCCTCAAAAGTTCAACTATGTTAGCGTTTTTTGCGAGTTAGTTTTCTACGGGATGGGGTCGCTAACACTGTGCCAAACCCTCCTCCTTTATCCGGGCTTGGGACCGGCAGTAGCCACTAGAGGGGTCCAGGCGGAGTTAAAAGTTCAACTAGATAGAGTCAAACATAAATTTTCATGGTCAACATTTATAAATCTTCATATTATGGGTTTTTTTTAATATCTAGTAAACAATTTTAGCCAGAAACTTCGGGACCATTTGAAAATGGCAATGAGTTACTTTATGGAATTTTTTGTCTTAATTCGTTATATTCAGTTTTAGGCATTTCATCAATTTACTTTAGACAACATTAGAAATTGTAGTAGAAGGAATGGATTGTTACTAATTTTGATACTCATTTACTAAATGTAGATTTCTATATATCTGTGTTTAAGTCACATTGTTTGTGTTATTACTTGGCTATCTAAATCCAAAGTAGGTGAAACTAGGTTCGATCATGTGATATATTGTTTAGAAGCTAATTCCTTTAACCGAAAAACCACTAATGTATTTCACTTGGTCTGTAAATTATCAAACATACATAGTTGATCATAGATTGCTACAGATAATTTATGTAATCCTATAATCCCTTCAACCTTAGATGTTTTTTAATATTACAACAAATCTTCGTTCCAAAAATTAGTTGTTGACTTGTATCAACATTTTATATAAAACTTAGATTTCTTAAGGTTCCATTTTAACCTTAATTGTTTCTCTTTTTTTCTCTCTTCCCAACCAACATCTCAACTGATTTATATAAAAGGTGATTTATTTCTCTGCTGCTCTATATTGAACAACAACAATATTGATAGTCACAATTATATAAGCTTACATGCAATTTTTAATATATTATAAATTTTATTTAAGATATAATTTCAATAGTTGGGAGCATGAGCCAATTAAAGCTAAATCACAATGGAAAACTTCGAAGTACTGGACAGCCGTCTTGTCCTATTGTGGGACTTTTCAGTAGCGCGCACTCACGACACCACCTCGAGAGATTCGAACCCAGAATCTCGCGAGGGAAGATCGTGGATGTGCACTTCTGAGGAGTCCCACAATAGTACGAAATGGCCGTCAAATGCTTCCAAGTTTTCCATGTTGGTTTAGCTTCAATTGATTCATAATCTCAGCTATCAAAATTACTATAATATCCACAAAAACCCCTCCTGATATTAAGATATACTTGTTGATTCACTGGACATTCAACTGTTTGTGTCAATAACGTTATTAAATCATTCATTCATTCCTCCATATGTATTCATGTGTACATGTATAGAATTATTTGAAATGTTTATTTTAAAGTAGCACACACACACACTGTGTAAACAGATCAACAACAAATAAATAGTGCATTAGAAATACTTGAACGGTGTTTCTTTCTTTTTTTTCTCATTTGTTTATTTGTTTCTATCCGTAAATTTTGTATGACTAAGCATTTCAATATTGCAATAATTAGTAATGTGTCGTATCATTTGAACTTGATTTTTATTTTCATTTCGTTCAGTCTAATTATGAATAATTGTAGTGTATGTAATAGATGAATAATTCATATCAGTATGGGCTTTTTGTGGATATTATAGTAATTTTGATAGCTGAGATTATGAATCAATTGAAGCTAAACCACCATGGAAAACTTGGAAGCATTTGACGGACATTTCGTACTATTGTGGGACTCCTCAGAAGTGCACATCCACGATCTTCCCTCGCGAGATTCGAACCTAATACCTACAAAGAACCCTTCTGATATTATTCAACATATGCTCATTAGTGACTGGCTTCAAGAGGTACTTTCTGGGGTTCTAGTGAGAAGCAGTGACTAGTGGAGTTCAACCAGGTCTGTTGTAAAATAGTAACTCATTGAAGACAATTGTGAATGTGTGGCTCAATGTGGTGGATTGGTTGAAGTTAGACATTAACACCATTGGATGCTGGCCGGCTCTGTGGTCTAGAGGTTAAGCGTTCGCTCACGAGACCGATAGGTTCTGGGTTCGAATCTCTCGAGGTGGTGTCGTGAGTGCGCACTACTGAAAAGTCCCACAATAGGACAAGACGGCTGTCCAGTACTTCGAAGTTTTCCATTGTGATTTAGCTTCAATTGACTCGTGATCTCAACTGTTAAGATGAATAATTATTAATGACCAGAATTGAAGTGTAAATATTTACAATTCTAAGTAGAAGTGATGAAAATATGATTGAAATTGTGAGTGGAATCCAAGAAAAAATCATCACTAATGTTAATTACAACAGCTTCACAATATCATATGCTACTACTAAACAGTATGAATAGTTGAAATCCACCAATGTTAATTGACAATTTTGGTTGAAGTACATTGATCTAAATAATTAGCTGGCTGTTTTGTTAATTTTTCGAGACTGAATATATTATCTGTATGTTCACACTGATTCACCTAGATAGTGCATGTAGCTTAAACAGGGTAAATGTTGGGTAAATTATTTAGGATATATGATAGTGGGAATATGTGTTACTGAAAGGATAACTTTGGGTTTGTTGTGAGCAAGTTCTACTGGTCAATAAGCGATCTATAATAATACAAGATTATTAACTGTTGAAGATTTGTAGCTCATGTGGATGATTTTGATGAGTTTTGTTCTCTGAGCTGGATGGTTTGGTCGTGGAGCTTTCATCGTTCTTCTGAACGACGTCATCAGCACAAACTTCAGATAGAAGTGAAGTGTTCGAATTTCTCCATATGTTTCACAGCTTGTTCTGTACACCTCGATGTTGATTGGTTCTTATTGACCTTAAATTTGTTATGACAATGTATAAATAAATCTATGATATTTTATTCTGTTATAGACTTACCATCCAAGACAAAATCCTTATCACAAATTCCACATTTTCAGGCATTATTTAAAAATACTTGATCAGATCAATTTTAATAAAACCGTATTCTCTCATCCTTGATACGGATATTAACCATTTTACACCAACATAGACTAAACGTAGATTACCTTATGTTAAACCTTGATCGTGTCCAGCAACTGAGTTCTGGACGTGCGTTTCGTCCTATTTGAGACTTCAACTAAACGTAACTGCATTTTCCAATGTTGATGCTTAAAATGAAACCCGAAAATTTCTCTTAAAATCCCACTGTGCTGTCTACTAGAATACCTTATTTTTATTTATTATAGCAGCGAATGTTTCTGTGTGTGTTATGAATTCCCCTTAAACTTATTAAAAGTCAATTTCATTTTTATCGATTTCGTTATTGATGCTTGGTATACTTTTGTTACATTTCTTCTTTTATGTATATGTTTCTAGGTTACTGAACTTGCTCCACTTCGCTCTCTACTAGAATGTTTACGTGAATCTGAATTAAGATCCAGTTTCTCTGTTCCTGTTTTGCATAAATTCTCAATACAGATTGCTCGAGGAATGAGTTATTTAGAAGAATGTGGTCTTGTACATCGTGATTTGGCGGCTAGAAATGTCCTAGTATTTTCAAAAGATGTTGTAAGCAATACAAAAACTGAACTATTAAATTGCTATTATTATTATTATTATTATTATTATTATTATTATTATTATTATCTAATTAATAAGAATAATAATCGTGTGTTCACCAATAATCAGTTTATATCATACACATAGTTCCCTTTATCATTTTGAAAAGAGCGAGAACAAACAATCTAGTAGAATAGCATGAATTCACTTCATTTCGTCTTGTTCTCATCAGCTGCTTACAACCTGTGATATTTAATATCATAATTACATAATGGGTTTCAAATGACTTACATGAAAGAGTTCGATTGGAAGTTATATTGAAGACATATTCGTATAGTATAGCAAGGGCGTAAATAAATTTAATAGACTGAATATTGTAAACATATACCTTATTTAAAAGAATATTGTGACAACAGTTCAAAGGGCTAGAAATAAAATGAGTAGAGTTCAGTTTTTAAGGTAAGATCAAAAACAAACTTTTTTTAGAAGATAGTTGAAATGAAACTCAATGATGTGATAAGTGTAAGAAAGAGTTTAAAGGAAAAGATAAAAAAACATTAAGATACAGCGAAGGAATATTAGTCACCAAGGCAAGGAAAGATAAATAAACATTTCCTTTTGAACACATAAATCAGGTTTTTGGAGTCTGATAGCAACTGCTTCAGCACACTTCAGAAGAATGGAGTTTGGCTGCTAACTAATCACCTTGACCGATTGTAGGGTATCGACCTGATGTCCTGTATCAGTTTATAGATGGACAGACAATAAAACATCAACTAACATTGGACAAGAATCACACCATGCCACTAATTTTAAGTGAGGTTAGGAAGTGGGAACCTTCATATTCTTATTCATTGATTTAACTAGGATCATGAAGGAAAGATTATAGATTTGATTGCGTGTAATGTTGTGGGATTCAGTCAGTCAGTCCGTCAGCTACAACGTAGGACCAGGCACATATATGCATCGGTCCAAGTTGCCATACCTCATTAGCACAAGCAGATGAACACCGAATTCATAGAAGTAGTTAATTTAATGATGGTAATATATAAAAGAAAGATTGCATATTAGAATATAGTACAGGAAGAATGAATCAGTTGGTAGAAAAAAGATATAATCTCATAGTTTAAGGGAAGACAGAGAGTGTATACATCTACGCCATTGTGGAATTACATTCTCACTGAGCCTTAAACTTAATTTGAACATTCATTCGATTCCGCCACTGGAGTTTTATGACTCATCAGCTAGTGGCATTTCTTAAACTAACAAGAAGGATTTTTTGTTGAGTATCCTGATTATCTTATGTCAGTTCCTTCCTCTTAAGTTCATTTAAAATGTGTATAACTTCTTAGCGCATATTAAATATTGGGTTTATTTTCAATGGCGTTACACTAAATTCTTCTTTACATCAAATAACTAACTTTAGCCTAAAACATGAATAATATCTAAACATCTAGGCAGGTTCGTATGACTTCTGTACCGTTAGAGATTCTACAATAAAATCTGTCATATTTCATTTATGTTGATGTAGGTTTTACTTCTAATCTCTTTTGGTCTTTACATATTTTGTCAATATCGAAGGAAGTTTTCTGTCTGACTTACTATTTAACGAGGCTACGTGTTACTATTACAATTTGTATATCCACGTTTTTTACCTTTTATTCTATTTTGTTCTCAACTATCGTTTCCTGGATATTTAAGAGAAATTTCTCTGGATGACGTATAGTATTGAGGCAATTAGTGAATCTTTTGATATCATTGTGAATATGGCTGTAGATGGACATTTGAAATCTTTCAAACTGGCAAGTTTTATTTTGTAAAATGCAAAAACCATCTGTATTCTTGCATTTTCCATCTGAAATGTTGGGCTAAACTAACATTTGTGGATCACTAAATGGTTAGAACGAAATCTTTAATAAAAAATGACTTCATTATTTACCACTCACGTACTAGCTGGACAGAAAAACGACTAAAAATGTTGGTTACAACATACCTATTAGGGTTTTTTTTGTTTGAACAACCGGTTGTTATCACTAGTCGTCATATTTAAAAAATGGATGTAGTTTAGGAGTGGTGTAATGAGCGAAGACTTGATGAGTGTTATAATTCCTCTTATTATAACCCAGCTATTCCTATTGCTTAGTTTTCTTTCTTGGATACTTCTTCACTCGACAAGTCCCCAAATCATAACACGGTTGAACGGGAACGAAATTATATTCCAAATAACAAGAGAATATGGAAGTAGGAAGCACAATAAGGAAAGCGTTAGTATGTTTATAGTTTTTATACAAGTAGATTCTAGAGTCTTCCCCAAGTATGCACTATCGCTGATTAGATGAGAAATAGCAAATCAACGTGCACCAACACAATTCAAGCTATATTCCGCTAACAGTGGGGAAAACCGATATATTGTTTAATGCAAAATTACAGAGTGCATTTGTAAAATATGAAAATCATGCTTTAAATACATCATTTACACATCTTTGTGTTGTTTTTTACAAACTCCATTATTCAGTTGTTATTTTGATTTCTCTCCTATTCACTTCCTGTCCTCTTCATTTTAATCTTTTAATGTCAGCCATTCCACTTCCGGTTGGCGATACATACTACTTATATCTGTCAGCATTGTTAGCATGCACCACAGTAGTAGTGGTAGAGTTACACTCCTTTTATTATCTTCCAAAGACAATATTAATATTAAATCTGTTAGCATGAAGTGAAACACTTGATCATACTACTATTTAATGAACTTTTTAAAAGTTGTACAATACTGATATCTTCTGGTCCTTCATTATTACCCATTCGGTGTCCTAAAACTAAAACAATTCAGTAACTTATAACGTTATTAGATATAACTCAAAATAAAAACTAGTAACAATCCTACATCATGAACATTAGAGGAACCTCTTTAACTGAAAAAAATATCCTTCTTAGCTATATATATTTAACTGAACTGTATTCTGCCTTACTTACTTACGCCTGTTACTCCTCGTGAAGGAGCATAGGCCGCTCATCAGCATTCTCCATCCAACCCTGTCCCGAACAATCCTTTCCAGTTATTTCCAGTTCTTATTCATCCTTTTCATATCTAATTCTATTTCTGACATAATGTGTTATTCGGCCTTCCCATTTTCCGCTTCCCTTCAGGATTCCAAGTTAGCGCTTGCCTCGTGATGCAGTTTGATGATTTGTGTAATGTATGTATTATTCATTTCCATCGTCTTTTCCTAATTTCCTCTTCAGCTGGAAAGTGGTTTGTTCTCTCCCACAGAAAGCTGTTGCTGATGGTATCCAGCCAATGGATGTTGAGTATCTTGCGTAGACAACTATATATAAATACTTGTACCTTCTTGATGATGGTTGTTGTAGTTCTCCAAGTTTCAGTTCCGTACAGTAGAATTACCTTGACGTTGATATTGAAGATTGTGACTTTGATATTGGTTGAAAGTTGTTTTGAGTTCCATATGTTCTCCAATTGAAGGAATGCTGTCCTTGCTTTGCCAATCCTCGCCTTTACGTCTGTATCTGAACCTCCTTGTTAATCGATGATGCTTCCTAGGTATGTGAAAGATTCCTCATTTTCCAGAGTGATTGGATTGCTGTTCTCCGTGTTGTATTTGAGGACCTTGGTTTTCTCCTTGTGTATGTTGAGGCCTACTGATGTAGAGACTGCTGCTACACTGACTGTCTTTATCTGCATTTGTTCGTCTGTGTTCTGCCATTACATACTATATCTTGTTCATAATTTTTCCTCTCTTGGTTGTACCCCTTTTCTCCCTCTTTTATTTCATAACAAGATTATCTTATTTTTTAGTATTTTTGTCACCTCCCCTCCGTCCCGAAGTTTTACCTGAATTGAATTCAATATAAAAAAACAAACAAACAAAGAATACTTTATAAGTCCAACAAAGTGCGTACTTACTTACTTACTTTTACTTACGTCTGTTACTCCCAATGGAGCATAGGCCACCGACCAGCATTCTCCAACCCACTCTGTCCTGGACCTTCTTTTCTAGTCCCATCCAATTCTTGTTCATTTTGTTTTCATGTCTATCTCCACTTCTCGACGTAATGTGTCCTTTGGTCTTCCTCTCCTCCTTCCGCCTTGAGGACTCCAAGCAGACGTAGTGGTAACTGCAAGGATACTCCAAACTCTCTTCAGAAAGATCTGGGATGAGGAACAGGTACCAAAAGACTGGAAAGAAGGACTTCTAGTCAAAATACCAAAGAAAGGCGATCTCAGAAACTGTGACAACTACAGGGGAATTTCTCTTCTCTCAATACCAGGAAAAGTCTTCAACAGGGTATTGTTAAACAGGATGAAGGACTTCGTAGACGCCCAACTTCGAGACCAACAGGCAGGATTCCGTAAGGATAGATCGTGTACAGACCAAATCGCAACTCTACGGATCATTGTGGAACAATCCATTGAATGGAATTCATCACTCTATATCAACTTCATTGACTACGAAAAAGCATCTGATAGCGGGGACAGAACAACCCTATGGAATCTTCTTCGACACTGCAGCGTGCCTCAGAAGATATTCAATATCATACGGAATTCTTACGATGGATTAAACTGAAAAATCGTTCATGGAGGACAGTTGACAAAGTCGTTCGAAGTAAAGACCGGTGTCAGGCAAGGATGCTTACTCTCACTCTTTCTCTTTCTCCTAGTGATCGACTGGATCATGAAGACATCAACATCTGAAGGGAAGCATGGGATACAGTGAACATCTAGGATGCAGTTAGATGATCTAGACTTCTCAGATGATCTGACTCCTCTATCGCAAACGCAACAACAAATGCAGGAGAAGACGGCCAGTGTAGCAGCAGCCTCAGCAGCAATAGGTCTCAATATACACAAAGGGAAAAGCAAGATTCTTTGATACAACACAGCATGTAACAATCCAATCACAATTGACGGAGAATTATTTTTTTTATTTATTTATGGCTTTATTCAATATTATATTTTGGTACAATATAGAATTCTCAGCACAAAAATATTTCAACAAGTTTCTTTTTACAGAACAAAAGAAAAAAAACGGTTTAAAAAAAATCTGAAAAAAAAACTGTACAACTTTTCAATTAGAGTCATGTTAAGAATGCAGATTATTGACTAGGTTAACTCTAACAACCTGTTCGTCACAGAGTACATTTGCTAGGTAAGGTACTATAGAACGTTTATACTTTTGCTTGCGTGCTTGGATTTTAATGTAATTTCGTCTCGTTCTACCAGAAGATATACAAGGAGAAAGATATGAGTGAAGGGGATGGTTAGTATCTGATAAAATAACATCTGCCAGGAGTTTGCATGACTTTAGATGTCTATCCACAATCATATTAATTATGGTCTCGAAAGATTCACCACATAACTTGCTAACTGCCTTCAGCGCTCTCCGCAGTACAGCAAAGTCTTTTCTCAAAAGTCCGGGAAAGAATAACGGAGAACAGTACAGAATAATAGGTAATATGCAAGAATTGACAAATTGTAGGAGTAAATGACGAGTGATCCCAAAGGCATGCAACCTCTTAATGTAGTATGTCAGACGGAAAACCTTCTTCGATAACAATAAAACGTGAGAAGACCAAGAGAAATCAGAGGAAAAGGTAACACCAAGATAATTGACCGTCGACACTGTGTTTATCAAAGAGTCGCCAATGGCAAAAGCATTATGAGATCTCAAAAAGGTGTTTAAATGCCCATCATGTCTCATGCTAAAGTTAACAGCTTGACATTTAGACGGATTAAGTAGGAGACCATTAACGACAGACAGAAGCTTTGGAAGATGTAAAAACCTTTACATATTTAGGCAGTATCATCGATGAACACGGTGGATCTGATGCAGATGTGAATGCACGGATTGGCAAAGCAAGAGCAGCATATTTACAACTGAAGAATATCTGGAACTCAAAACAATTGGCAACCAACACCAAAGTCAGAATTTTCAATACAAATGTCAAGACAGTTATACTGTATGGGGCGGAAACCTGGAAAACTACGAAATCCATCATCCAGAAGATACACATATTTATTAACAGTTGTCTACGCAAAATACTTCAGATCCGTTGGCCGGATATTATTAGCAACAACCTACTGTGGGAGAGAACAAACCAGATCCCAGTGGAGGAAGAAATCAGGAAGAAGCGCTGGAAGTGGATAGGACTCACATTGAGGAAAGCACCGAACTGCGTCACAAGACAAGCCCTCACATGGAATCCTCAAGGCCGAAGGAGGAGAGGAAGACCAAAGGACACATTACGTCGAGAAGTGGAGATAGACATGAAAACAAAATGAACAAGAATTGGATGGAACTAGAAAAGAAGGTCCAGGACAGAGTGGGTTGGAGAATGCTGGTCGGCGGCCTATGTTCTATTAGCAGTAACAGGCGTAAGTAAGTAATATAAAGAGGAGACAACGGCTCGTTAAGGAATTTAATAATCGAACACATTGTAAACACAGGTCACTTAATCATGATAGACTCTGCGTTCAAAGTCATCTACAAGGTACGTGGAGGTCTTTTAAAGACAATCAGACTGCATCTTCTTTGCATTGCTGAAGCATTAGTCATACACCTGTGCATAAGAGACTGATACAACCTCTCCTACCATGGTCTTAATGTCTTATAATCTTTTTTCGCTTTTTCATACTATTCTTCCTTCACAGCCATCTGCTTCACCTACCTTCCCCTTAAATCTTCTAGCCTCAACTGGTTTATTTTCGTTTCCACGATCATTCTGATCACATTTAATTTCAATTTCAACATTTTATCTTATCATGCTGAGCTATCCTTTCCCAATGATAATTTCCCTATCTATCTTTTGATGAATACTTAAGCCATTAACAATCAAAGGATTATTAAGTTTTCCTTGTTTGAAAAAAAGAATTTTTTAAAATACCTTTGTTTATTTTACTTCACTGTCAACAGTGTCTAACAGAAGTTTATTATCAGTATCATTATCGTCCTGTTAATATAAGTATGTATATATAGTTGCGATTGTACAGCTTTGAAAATGAATTCACCGAAAAGGGGAAAACTCTGCACAGAACTCATCTTTCTTATTTAATGTCTTTTAATGGGTGTATTCCGTCTAGTTAAATGGATTTGTTTAATTCAATGTTTTTCTTTTATATAAATTATTATAAAAAAAGACAAATGTTTCATTTAAATTCACTAGGTGTTGTTTGCTTGTATCCTTCCCATTGTTGTTTAGGCCTGTAATTGATCAGTCTCTTGTTGGCCATATGTGCATGCTGTGCGGATTGCCTCGATATTGCCTTAAGTCACAAGCTTTATAAGCAAAGATGGATATATATATATATATATATATATATATATATATATATATATTTAAAACAATACATTTTGAAATTGAGTTTACGTGTGTATGTTTGTGTCTGCTACAACCCCTTAACTTTTAAAGAGGAAGAATGTTGTATTTGTAACATCTCAGTAAATGAGTTTGAAGTAAATCCAACGTATTGTTTGACTATCTGGTCCAAGTTTTTTCAAGGAAATACATTCCTACTGTTTAATGTCTCATGTCAACTCTGCGCCTAAATACTGTGAAACTATTCGATCAAGTTTAAATGAAAGTTTCTATTTATTATTCTGCAAACCCTTAACTTTTGTTTTTCTTTTCGACAAATACGTAAATTGGTTGATATTAGACACTAACACCATTGGATGCCGGCTCAGTGGTCCAATAGGTTAAGTGTTCATGTGTGAGACTGAAGGCCCTGGGTTAGGATCCCGCGAGTGAGATCGTGGATGCGCAATGCTGAGGAGGCCCACAATAGGACGAAACGACAATTCATTGCTTCCAGGTTTCCAACAGTGGTCTAACATCAATCGGTTCATGATCTCAATCAAATATACGTAAATGAAATAAATATTTGTCTGAAAACGATAATTTAACAATATGAAAGGTGTAATTCTTTGTTTCAATTGACTATGTTATCCATTTATGGGATTTTAGTTAGTAAAATAGGTTTAGTTACTCTAAACGAAGTCCTACGTTACAGGTTTTGGCAATTGGTTTGTATCATCAGTCATTTTAGAGATCTATATGGCCTTTAGTTAGGTCTTAGTACCTGAATATAGGTGATAGTTCTGGTATATCACAAACTGATTGAAATTGGAAATGTTGACTATTTGATGGTAGGCAACTGAAGTAGCCGAAAGGTAGCGTATTCTCTGCGAAGCTTGATGCTTCTTGGTTCAATGCGTATCAGTGTTGTAGATGCACACTGTTGAACAGTTGGTGACTAAAACAAATATTTGTTCAACGTCTCCTGGTTTGCAATGATGTTCTAACTAAGTGCAGTCCGTCGAGGAAAAAGAACCTACCTGTGTATACGGGATCGTTAAATTGTATTCTTATTCTTTTAATAAATTCATATGCTGAACCATTGATACCGTTTTCTGTAATAAAGTCCCTAAAGATTTAACGGGAAGTCGTAACTTGAGGCGCCAAGTATCGATCAATATACTGGCTATCAAGTTATATCAGACGTTCGCCACTGACTGATTATTGAGTAGTGTTCAATTTCATATTAGTCTAGTCCCTAGTGCTGATTGAATTCTGTCGATCAGTGTACAATCTCCTAACTAACATGGAATTTATATCAAATAGGATGTCCTACCAACTACTTCCAATCATTTTATATCAATTGTTTAGTAGTCCTATACATTTACATTTGAAAATAACTAAACTTGATAGCCATGATTCCAATTGTTGTTTAATTCAGTGAATTTGTGGACTACAGAACTCTTGAGTTTAGACTACTTTCTAATTATCATTATACGGTTGACTGAGATCATGAACCGATTGATGTTAGACCACCATTGAAAACCTGGAAGCACTGGACGGCCGTTTTGTCCTATTGTGGGTCTCCTCAGAAGTGCGCATCCACAATCCCGCCCACGTGATCCTAATTTTTGTAATATTTCTTAAACTCATAATCGAACATTAAATTAAATTATTATTGTTCAAATTGATCAATTCAGTACCTAAATATTTCTTTGTTTTATTTTCTATCTGCAGGTAAAAATTAGCGATTTCGGTATGAGTCGTGCTCTTCAACTAGGCAAATCATATTACCAATCAAATTTCAATGTTAATCTTAAACTTCCAATTGCATGGTGTGCACCAGAATGTATACATGATTTATTATTTACCATACATTCAGATATATGGGCTTATGGTATTACATTATGGGAGATATTCACTTATGGATTCACTCCATGGGCTGGTCTTACTGGTCGACAAATATTAGAAATGATCGATACACCACGTTTTGGTCGGTTAGATCAACCAGATTCATGTCCAGATCCAATTTACGATGCTGTGATGCGAGCATGTTGGGCACATGAACCAAAAGCTAGACCAACATTTACTCAATTACTAGGTAAATTATTTTTCAGAGGTTTTGTGGAGTTTGCTTTAATTTTCCTGTTTTTATAGGTTTTCTTCGTTACAGATTGATCTCACTAGTAATTTACTGTAAGATATTCTTAACGTTCTGGTGAATATTGTAACTGGCGGAAAAGTTCAGATGTATCGAGATTCAAACAGTTGTCACTATTGTTAGTAATTGATCGTTGTACTATATATATATCCCAAATTTATTGGAATTGGAATTGTTGAAGTGGATGCAGATCCTTTGGTCCTAATTGCTAAGCGTTCGCCGCGATATTCGTAGTTCCTGGGTTTAACCCATGGTACAAGCCATGAGTTCGCACTTCTGAAGAGCCCTATATTCGAACGAAACAGCTGTCCAGTTCTCTCTGATATCCATTGCTACCCTACTTGAAATCAATCTGTGAATAGTATTACCTAAATATTAAGCGAATTGTTCTTTATTTAAAAAGTTTTACCAAATTCCTTTCTCTCTGTTTCCCATTTTAGTATGTTACATTCTATTACTACCTTAATCCTATGGATTATTACTATTTGGTTTTTTCTTCTGTAACTGTTGTTCAAACCGAACTTGTTATGATTTAATGTCCGGCTTTCGATCAGGTGACTTATCCACCAATCAGAATACGACTTATACAAATCTTCGCACTATGACAAAACCAATGACGTTCAACCAGTCTGAGCAGTCTAGCGTCCTTATTTGGTTCTATGTCTCTCTATCCCTTCCGCTTGAGTCCAGAACACAATACCACCTTCTGTAATATGAATCGAATCGAATCGAACCAAATCAAATCGGACTGAATCATTTATTTCAGACACACTCTTTATATATCAATCAGACAGACCACAACGTACCATAAAATAGAAAATAACATGTGTAAGTTCTTACGGCGCTCTTCAAGTGATTGAGACGCTACGAGATACAATGTGCTCAAGAATAGGTTATCGGCTTCTGTGACAACGTGGGAAACGACAGAGCTCGTGCTTTGCATCTTACTACCGCCCGTAATTGGAAGGAAATGTGCTCTGTCGTCAGGTCCTGACATTTTACATCAAGTTTAAGAAATAAACGACCAATTATAACGAACTCAAAACTAGCTATTTGATTGGACGTAACAGAATGAAAATTATTGGAAGATGGGGATGAAAAATTTTTTCGAATGGGACGAAAAACAATTTCACTCGAAAAAAAATAATAAAAAAATGGCCGTGCATTTAATGTTAACCTTAGTATAACATGGGAACATTATATCGTACAATAATAATCTATAGGTCAAAATGAAGCTTATAATAAGGGGAATATAGATACATACAATCTAGTTACTGAATAATGATACCATAAGAATATATATAGATAATATTAGTCCGTTGATAGGTTTCAGAAGTAACTCGTAACATAATCTTCGCCAGGCCATCACAGAACTGAGTGAAGCCGAATTTAAGTACTCCAATTATTGTAGTTAGCTAGACATATTACTTTTCCCAGTCCTTCTCCGATTATCGCCACTTTATCATGAGTAAAAAATTAAGAAATTAGTGTTATCATATCAACGGTAGGAGAGTGGGATGCAATGGCTTAGACGTTGGGTCATTCAGCTTCCACCTATTAGTTCTCAGGTTTAAGCTCCATCTCAGTTACTTTAATATGGGGAACTGAGTAATATCGCTAACTGTGTGGTTGAAAGCTGACAGCATAAATCTGTACTTGGTAGATGAATAAGTGATAGTACGGAAAAACAGATTTCTTGAGACTTTTTCGGGGCTCATAAGATAAGTTGTATTGATCAAATCCAGGTATCGATTAATTTGTCTAGACATTATCTAGTACTTGTGACACGATTATTATGAGATAACAGCTGAGAATTAGAATTAGCCATTATTGATCTAGAATGTAGTTCTCCTGTGCTATTTCACATGATAAACAGAATAGAACACCACATAATATTAGGGACTGATGGCAAATCAGTTGATGAAGTTGTAGATCTTCATCGACTGAGATAGTTGAACCACGTGTTACGTATGTCCGAACACCGATTACCACGACACGCAGTGCTAACTAGTGTTGGGGATGATCGGAAGAAAGTTAGAAGCGGACAAACCAAAACGTGGCATCAGTACTTGAGTAATATGTCTTAATGACCCCTGTCATTGTCTTACTATCATTGAGTTTATTAATCAGATGTTCATTGGCTACTAGAAGGTCATCGGTCCTGTACGTGCAAGCAGACTGAATGATACAATTACTTCTACAATAACGGTCTCATCATATGGTCCTCAAAACAATGCAAGTATTTGTTCCCTTCCCCTTTACATCACATTATGTTATTATAACATCCACATATACAAACTATTATTCTTAACAAATTATCAACAAAATTGATCCGTTCACAATTGATTCACCTTAATCATTGAAAAGATTGTTCAATGAAAATGATACCGTTTATTATTCCAATATTCAACTGATTGATTCAAAAAGCTTCCACTTTTTCTTTTCTACATTAATCAATCAATATTTGTTATCCTACTGTTTTGGTTATAAGCATATATATATATATATATATATATATATATATATATATATATGTAGGGTAGATTAGTCACCTTATGTAAACAAAATATCTATTTCTAATGGATTATTAAGTATTAACTGATTAAGAGAAGGGTTTTGTTATTTGTGTGTGTGTGTGTGTAAATATATCTACATAATATGACAAATAATTAAAAAAGTTTCACTGGTTGAAATCATGAATCCATTGAAGCTAGACCACCATGGAAAACCTGGAAGCACTGGACGGCCGTTTCGTCCTAGTATGGGACTCCTCAGCAGTGCGCATCCACGATCCTGGGTTCGAATCTCGCGAGGAACGGGATCGTGGATGCGCACTGCTGAGGAGTCCCATGAGATCCCTTAACCACGCCCTTTCAAGACCTTACCAGGTTTCGAACCCAGGATTGCTGAGTTTCGTAGTGAGCTTTCTATTGTAAACTGACTGAAGATGAAATGTGGACAGTCATATGCTTATTCAATACCCTAAATTCAATGCAACTTGATGATAATAAGTTTGACACCAGGTGAGGTCGTGGGTTCAGAGGGTTGGAGAGTCCCATGCTTGGATTGGATAGTTGTTTGGTGCTTCCTATTTTTTGTGGTACTCTGAAGGGTCAATCCATGATAACCTCCACTTGAGGTAAGTATATAACATGAGTATCTTAAGTATATGAGATTAATTAAAATCACGTACACTCCAAGTTTTCATTGTTCCGTCGCTTGTTTTCTGTACTTTCTCATTATTTTTCTTTCTTCTGACTAATAAAACTGTTGTTTATTACTATTTATTGTGTTATTGTTTTTGGCCATATTGCTCTCAAAATGTACCAAATGTGTGATTTGACGCACTCCTGCTACTACCACTATTGTACAAAATTGTTAATTGCTTTCATTCAGTATTGTATAATTGGACTTCAAATATCACTATACTGTATAGCGAATAGATAACCCCTAATTCACTGTAGATATAACTAACATGATGATAAGTTCTAACCTTATCAAACACTAGTTACTTGACTGTTTGGCAGTTTATAAATTTGTAGGTTGTATTTATCATAGATTGATGTCAATTGAAGTGCCGTTGATAATCAGGTAGCACTGAACAGTTGCTTTGTCTTAGCTTAGATATCCTCAACAGTACGCACCCATGAATCCGTCAGCGATCGAACCCAGAACTTTCAGGTATCGCATTGGACTTTTAATCACTAAAACCGCTAGGTTGACGTCAAGTGGTAAAATTCTATCTTCAATCAATTCACGATATGGCACAAAAACATGTTGTCATTAAGCTTTACAGCATTAGGGATTCTAGATAATTAATTAATTTCTAATTACAAATTACTTTTGGAAAATTACGATTCATTGCATTCATCAAAATATCTACATTATTAACACTAGCAACTGGTTTAATTAAATGTTAATTTCATTTTTAAATAATGCACATGTAATATCTTTTATGCGTACTGCTCACTCGGCACTCCATCTGGGTTCGTGGGAGACCTTAGTAAAATTGATTTCTCAATTCTGATACATACTACGATTGGCAGTTATAAATTTCTCTCATTTTTCACATAAGATCTATAAATGAAATGAAAATGCAACTCAGTTCATCCATCTGATGATTAGTCTATCAATTTGGATATGAAAAATTAAGATACCATGGCAAACAACGTCTACGTACAACAATAGATTCACGTAAATATATGAGTAATCAAATAACCTAAATACTGTCAACGTGGGCGTTGACTGTTACTCAGTTAGTAGTCCATTTTGTTTAGTTTTAGCTCATTCTCACCCTCGCCACCCCAGTATTCTTGTACTGATTCATCGTATGTAGCCTTGGTGTGTCGGTAATTAAAAATAATCTGTCTAACCTGTTCAATACAGTTTTACTTATACTTAAATGTGCTACAGATAAAAACTGATTATCAAAGCTAATGGTAGTTGATTGATTGTGACTGAATCTTCAATTCTCATTGTTGATTAATAACTGATGAAATTGTCTATTCTTCGTTGAAACTGATCACCTTACTTCAGTTCAATTTATGAATTGTTAGACAGACATACAGACGAACAAACAATGAAAAATAGTGATCAGAAAGGAACATATGAATTTTATTTTATCATAGAATATTTGAAATTCTGAGCTTGGACTTTGTTATAATTATTAACGACATTAGCTAAAAGCATTTGACAACTTGATATTCAGAATACTGCTACTGAAAATTTGTAGTAGTCCCATTCATTCTATACTTTCCTCTAAACTCTTATGCTTGATATAATATTTTCAATCATTCATATTTTATCTTGTTAATTTTACTCTGTCACTATTTGAATATGACACTTGTCAACTTAAACTGATAAACACTTGTTCTAAGCCTTATATTGTTTATCATTAACTGATTGAATACTTTGCGCTTAGAAGATAACTTCTTAATTTTTCATTGGTTAATTAAAGGAATTGTAGGATTCTCCCAACGATCAGTGTTAGTGATGGTAACATCCTTTATCCGCCCTTAAATGCTAATATTCAATATTCCTTCTTACTCATATTTTTTCATTCCTACCTTTCAAACCATATTTTCAACCTCCAATCTTTTTCACTGCTGTTACCTTCTGTAGTTATTTCTACTCCCTTACTACTCATCTCGTTAATTTCCTTCAGTCTTGGTATCATGGTATGATCATTTAAGCCAACACACATTAGTCTCAGGTTTTTTGTTGATTATAACTGACTGAATGTATGTCTTATGTTTTGTGTCCCTTCAAATATAATTATATGAGTGAAGAATATTCTTTTCAATATTTTCTCATCACATTCTACAATTATCTCATATCCAAATAATGATCAGGTTTAAGGCAAAGTACATTTAAAATTAATAACATGAATCAAGGATTGTTTGTCATATAAAATAACATGATATTAATCAGCATATACTCACTAGTGATTGGTATCAAGAGGTATTTCCTGGAGTTCTAGTGAGAAGCAGTGGCTAATGGAGTTCAACAAGGTCTGTTGTGAGATATTAACTCACTGATAACAATGGTGGATGTGTGGCTCAATTTCGTGGATTGTTTGGAGTTAGATATTAACACCATTGAATGCTGACCGGCTCAGTGGTCTAGACGTTAAACGCTCGCGCGCGAGACTGATAAGTCCTGTGTTCGAATCACGTGGGGCGGGATTGTGGATCGTTGGCCAAGGTAATAGGAGCGCTTGGACATGTTTCTTTTGTACTTAAAGCTCTGGCTTTTTAATCCGAATAGCAATTGCTTCAGCCGTCTGTAGGATTTTCAGTTTGACAGATTTAGGTAGATTGCTGTTAACACGATATATTATTGTGAAAGATTGTTTCATGTTCTCTGTATGGTCTGTTTGAACTAAATTAGCTAAAATGGAGTTGTTCACAGTTTTAACTACACCTTTGCTTAAACACATTGTCAGGTGCTCACGAGCACGAATATACAAATACCTAGAACACCTGCCAATATATCTTGCTCCATAGAAGCAGTTAAATTGTCAGATACAGAAAGAATACTTAATGTATTCTATTCATTAGCTGTCTACTCCGGTACCCAGTGTTTATAATCAGTAGTGAAGTAGTCGAGGACATTCAAAATTTCGCTTATATTTCAATACTTATTCGATCATGCATTTATTATAATATCAATATTTAGGATTAAAAAAATCCATAAAATAATCACTTTTACGACTAATGATTTATTACTTCAGTCAACAAGACTCGTATCTCTCTCTTTAACTTAAAAGAAACAAATACTTAATTAATCTATTCTTTCTTAAATATAAACATTAATTTAAATTCACTTGGTATTGTTTCACTTGAATCTTCCCATTGCTGTTTAGGACTGCAATCGATCAGTCTCTTATTAGCATATGTGCATACTGTGCGTATAGCCTCGATATTGCCTTAACTCACAAGCATTAAAAGCAAAGCTGGATAGTGGCTAACAATGGAATACAGGATGCGCGTTTTGTTCAGCTGGATGTACATGCATTTCACAGTTGATGTTCACTCTGGGATTCGAACCCAGTACCGTTCGCTTCAAACATCAACTCAGTATCCACTTAGCCACTGGGTTCTGATAGCCAAACATTAATTATTCATCAATTATTCTAGTATTATTGTTTTGTTTATTTTTCAATTTAGAATGTGTTTTTATCTTTAAAGATTATGCTCATTTTTTTCGTACATACATATAAACCTATATGATTCGTGTAGAAAATTCAGCTAATTCATGTTCTCCTTACTTTTTACTTTATTCAATCATACATGTTTATTTAATTTATGCACCTAGTTACAGGATATAAATCTGTTATTACTAATAGAAAAGTCATCTGATTGAAGGTGCTAAATGATAGCTTGTTATAAAAACGTTTATGTTGATCCTGTTAACTGTTTACTTATTTCTATCACACTAGATACAATTGTATATCCATTTATTTGAATATCTTTTCCACCTTAATAATAGTTAGAAAATTGTTTTTATTGTTACCGATACATATGTGCTGTAGGCTACTTATGTCCACAGACATAAGTAGTATGTAACGCTAATCAGTAGTGGAATGTCTGGCAGCGGAATGTTGAGAAGATCTAATTGAAGAGAACTGTAATGTAAATAGAGATTAGTTGTAATAGCAGTAAAGTAACGGTGGAGTTTAAAACAATTGATGGAAGATTTGCAAATGTAATATTTTATCTATGGTTGCCGCATTTTATGAAAAAACTCCGTGATTTTGCATTGAATAATAAATTGGTTGTCCACATCTGAGTGTTTGTTCATTAAACACGTCCTTAGTTACAGATCTATATGAACCTTTAGAATTAAACTTCATTACCTTAACATTATCATACTTGTTACAAATACTTCAACATCTGATTTAAATTCCATATTTAATGGTGCTAATTGATCCACGCTCCTCCTTTGATTTCAATACTTTTGAAGCTGATCTCAATCTTTGATTGAATGTTTTTTTCTAACAAAACAATGCAATTGTTTTGAACATTCAACTTTCTACAGTTAATCAATCTATCAACAAATCCAAATCATATTCTTTATTTATCCAGATTAAAGGAATAGACCATTATTGATTCTATTACATCATCAACCTTATATAAGAGTTTTGCGTTAATAACGTTGTTATTTCAAAGAGATTTATAATTTGTAATGTTTAATGGCATAATGCGTTAATTTAAAACCAGAGAGCATGACTATTAGAGAATAGCAGCTGTATTTTCAATAATCTAAATAAAATACTATTTAATTCACTTGGTACTGTTTTACTTGAATCTTCCCAGTATTCACAAATGCCAATAAGAGACCGATCAATTTCAGTCCTAAACATCAATGAGAAGATTCAAGTAAAACAATACCAAGTGAATTAAACTTCACCGTATTGCAGAAGCAAATGGCTATCAGGATTCAGTAGCTAAGTGGATAACGCGATGGGGTTTGAAGCGAACGGTACTGCGTTCTAGTCCCAGAGTGAACATCAACTTCCAGATGCAGGTACATCCAGTTGACCAGTGCAAAATAGGACGAAACACGCGTCCTGTATTCCACTGTTAGCCACTATCCATCTTTGCTTATAATGCTTGTAAATTAAGGGAAAAATACAATTTAATTATCATTACTACAACTGTTAATGTATTTGATTTACAAATACAGGTATGCTTCCACGTCTTAGTCCCGAAATTTGGATAACCACAAGTGAATATCGTCCTGATACAGATTCGAATTTGGATGCAATTAGTACATCAGGGGAAGAATTCCCATATAATCCTGGTTTTCGTCCACATGGAACACGTTCATTAGGTCGTCCACTGTTTATTAGAGCAAATGAAACAGTGTGTATACTTGGCAAAAGGTTTGTTAAGTTTTTTTTTCAATATTCTATCTACTTCGTTTTATACTTAAAACTACATTTTGTTGTTCATTTTTCTAATTATGATTACTAAGTAGTATTATGCTGTTTAAAGGGTAATTGATTTCAATCTGTTACACAATTACATAAAGGTAATTGAATACTTTTCTACAAGATGTTATATTGTTGCCATCCTGTCTGGTTCACAGTTAAACAACTGTTTTTTTCTCTGAACGCTATCAAATATGAATTAGTTATTAATATTCCGATTAAATACCATTTTATATTGATTGATTACTAAGTAACGACCAATGCTATGTTTGTCTAGTTTTTTGGTGTTCAACAAACATTGTTTGACCGAAACTTTATACCTGCTAAGACTTGTTAGCTAGACGTATCTGGAATCTTTACGGAACTAATGCTCCCCGTGGCATTTAAACACATACCAACCAGTGACGTAGCTAGAAATGTTACCACTGAGTTATTCGGGCCTCAATTAACCTCCTGTAGTGCTAGTACATTAAATCTAATTAATCACTTATTGGTTGGTAATATCACACTTTGTGTAGTCTTTAGTACTAATGGAGTTCTCACTAACAAGTGGCGACCAGTGCGACACCTAACTACAAGGCTTTCTTGCTACTACTATCTTCCATCACCTTACAAATGTCACTGTTTTAGTTATTTTATTTAATTGGGTTTTTTAAAGCTTCCTATGGGTGTCATGGAGAAAACAAGCACCTATTTTCGTTAAAGTTTCATTAGATCTAAGTTATATTGATTGTCATATGCATTGTAATAATGTACTATGTTATGTATGGTTTTCAGAAATTACTCTAGTGTAGTGACATACTAAAAAATTGTATCAATTCGCCATGAGTGTGGTTGGTAATTACTTACTTGTGCCTGTTACTCCTCTTGGAGGAGCATAGGCCGCCCACTAGCACTCTCCATCTAACGCTATGGAAACTTCGGCACTATTGATTTCCTGAGAAGATTGCAAACATCATCCGGAGTTCATAGGACTGACTGTACAGTGCAAATTCGTGCATGGAGGTCAGCTGACAAATGCATTCCAAGTAAGGACCGGGGTCAGACAAAGCTGTCTACTCTCCCCCTTCCTCTTTCTCTGATTGGTAATACGTGAACTATATTTGGAGATATAGCTTTTCCTGCTGTAATCCAACAAACTGAAGTTTATTGTAGTAATAACAATGTGTTCACTAATGACTAGCTTTGAAAGAGATTCCTGGAGTTGTGGCGAGAAGCTGTGATCAGTGGAGTTCAATCATGTCGGAAGTGAGATAGATATCGCTGACAACGTTATCATGAATTTAGTAATGTCAGGAATGTAAACTATTGTATCCCAATGTAATAGCCTGAAGGATAGGTGCTTGCCTCAAGACCCGAAGGTTCTGGATTTTTCTATTGGAGAGAAGGGCAGTCCACTGAGAAATCTCATACTAAAACAAAATAGCCATTCAATAACTCTTGTCTTTCTATAGTTATCTAACGAAATATCATTCCGCTAGGTATGAAACAAACATAGAACAGTCTCTTTTGTTATAAAACAACCTATATGTTTATTTATAACATTGTTAATATTTGATTTACTTCTTATCAAAAAGCTTTTGTTTGACTTAATTCTTTCTCTCTTGTAGAAGTAGTAACACATGGAAAGTGGTAAATTTACGTACGGGCCTTGTAGGTTGCATTCCATCAGGAATTTTAAAACCATACAATACTCCTGGTAACGATCCATCTGTTACCCGTGATCGTCATACACTAATTACCAATAATACTGCCACATCGTCACCAAATACTATGGGGTTAGTAGCAAAAACACGTTTACGTATGAGTCGAAGAGGTTAGTCGAGATAATCATTCTTGTTTATTTTCTCTTTGTTGTTATCAATAACACAAGTTTTATTCTTTCGACTGACGTTGTATAAAATATATTTTTATCTCTAATGTAAGTCGAATTTTTCGAAATCATTTTTATTGGTACCATATATACGCGACATGGTTAGTCAATACAAAAATGGGAAATTTACATTTAATTAGATCATAGGTATCTTTTAAATATTAATGATTGTCGTATGTGATAGAACCATCGTATGATCTGTCTTGTGTTTAGAAAGAAACATTTAGGGAGTAGGCAGATAATATTTTAAGCCTTAGGTGACTTCAGTGGTTTCCATGCTTTTAGTCTTTAAGAGAATTTTCGAATAACTAGATCTCAATTTCTCACAAATAGCTACATTTTCTAGATCGAAATGGAGAATGAATATCACCTTTAACACAACATAATTTATTCATACTCTTAACACCTCTTAACAATTGCTACTATGATTCAAATTAGAGAGCACTTAGTTGTGTGATCTAAATATTTTCGTAAATTTCATCATAAAAATAAATTTTATAGTGATCTATTTGATTTCTAGCTTGCTTTCGTCCCTAATCGAACTCAATTAGACTATCATTGAAAACTAGTAAATACTAGACAATTTTCTACAAAGCTTAAATATCCTTAGTTAGGTAGCTGGTGGGTTAACGGGTTTACTCTGTCGAAGAGTCTAATTAAGATAAAAAAGATGTCCAGTGCTATTCTGTTTTCCAGTGGTACTTCAACTATATCTGATGAGTTTCATTAAAATTATGAATCGATCAAAGTTAGACAAGCATCGAAAGCCTGAAAGCACTGGATGATTGATTCGTCCTAGTATAAGACTATTCAGCAGTGTGTATCGACGACTCTGCCGACGGGAATCGAACCCAAAACCCTCGGTCTCGCACGCGAACACAACCTCTAGACCAATGAGCCAAAAGCCAATGGTATAAAAATCTAATTCCAATCAGCCTACAATAATACATGACCATCTATCATTGTCTTCAGTGGATACCTTTCTCTAATTAGTGTCAATATTTTCCTTCACTAAAGAAAAAAATAATGATTTTTGCGATCAACTATTATTTCAATTTTAAATTAGCTTCATTAACAGATTTGGCTTTACGCAGTGAGTTATCTTTTATGTTTATAGATTGAACGGAATAGTAATGCGCTTTTTTTTATAAAAAAAAACTAGTTTTTGCCAAAATTTAATTTTTGTTGCTTTGCATAAAGAAAAACATGATTGAATATAGTTTATACTGAAAGTGTTTGGCATTAATGATTTATATTACATAATGCCATTCTATTATCATTGATTGATTCCTTATTCATCTTATATCTATTGGCCTAATATTGCACTATATGAAAAAATATTGACAATGTCACAATGTTCACGTTCTACCAATGGGTATTGTGTGTTTGTATGTAAATATAAATCTTTTCAGAAGGGGTTTTATGGAGATTTTAGAAATTTCACTGGTTGAAATCATGAGTCAATTGAAGCTAGACCACCTGGAAGCACTGGATTGTCGTTTCGTCCTAGTATGGGACTCCTCAGCAATGCGCATCACACGATCACCTAAATAGTCTGCTATCTTGATGAAATATAATTGTGAAACGATTATTTTTTGTCACCAACCTATTTGGATTTCCCTTTCTTAATACTTTGGATACTAAGAGGAAGTATTGTCGATGAAGTCCATCTCCAGTTTGTCTTCAATTAACTCATAAGTTTATTTATTTATTTATTTGAACACATAAATATTGACACAAAGAGGTACCATATACATATGAGCCAGACAAGTCACTTGATTTGTGTACGGGTTGTGATACTGCTAGGTTCCCCACACCGAAGCAGGTGGTTTTCTTAGGGGGTTACACCCGGAGCCTTTGACCCAAAGGTTTAATTCACAAGGCAGTGGAGCAACGTCAGGAGATGCAATACCATGGTAGCCGGTGACCAACGATTGGTTCATACATCATTTGTTCCTTCAGGATCCTTGAGCCTATATTAATCATTATTTTGGAATGAGGGTTTTCCAACTCCCGTAGGTGGATCCTCCATATCCACCGACCCGATTAAAGCACCGAACATTCACTTTTCGTCCTCTCAATTTCGTAAATAACAGTAATGCCGCGAGAAGGCAGTGAGTAGGACTTCCCTAGCACTAGTTGTATGCACGTAGCTATGTGAGAGCATTTGGAGAGAAAGAACTGACTCTCACCACTGTCAGCCGTATCAAGGCATTTGGGGGTAAAGTATGTGTCGGAAGTGGGATAGTAACCCACTCCCACATCGTGGACTGTTATCAGTTATTGCCGCTATTGTTTATCACTAGTTGATCGCTTTTTGGTAAAAAAAATTCGTTTCTAATGATTTTTACCTCTAAGGAGTATTAATGTGCAAAACCATATTTGTATCAATCTCAGAGTTTCATCCTATTTGGGACTCGTCAGCTAGATATACCTGCATCCTAGAGTTGATATTCATGCCGGGATTCAAACAATCAATACAAATGAATTATATGTCATATATTTTAATAATAGTAGGTATTTGGAAGTTATTACTAGTGATACTACTTACAAGACCTTTTATTCCTTCACGAAGAGATATACATAACATATTAATATTGAAACTTGATTGATACAACAGACTTTCCACTTTCTCTCCTTTACTATTTACAAATTTTATTTCTTATTATCTGTTTAATGTGTAACTACGTTGTAAACTAACATGATATGTTAATAGCTTTCTCTCTTAAATATATATCTTGCACATATTATGAATTAACACTTAGTAATAGATTGTTCGATAGTCTGATTTTTGGAAATTTACGTGCATACATACATAAACAAACACATTATCTCTTATCCTACTTCTTCTTTTCTACCACTTCCACTTTATGACATTGCCTAGACTTTCATTCAAGTTTGCTTTAAATTGAATTTTTAAATGATTTACTCTCATTTTTAAGTAACGAAGATTTTTCATGAAGAGAAGACTGTAAGTTGATGTTTATTCTTATTAATTGATACCATCTGGAGAAATGTTGAAGAACACGGTTCATTTGACAAATGCTTTGTCCACATTTGTACTGTACTCCCAAGACATCAAACCCAGTACTTTAAGGTTACTCAAAGAAAGACAATAATAGCGTAGAGTCGAACATATATGTGCATCGATTCATATCAACACAGTAAAATGAAATTATCAAGATAAATCTCAGGGTAGTAATAGTTGTAACAGTATCAGTCATAGTAGAAAAATTAGGCATAGACAATATGGTTCAAGAGTTAAAAATATGAGAGTAAATAGATCTGCACTGATGCGACCGATTCTAAGCCATATCTCACAACATCTCCAATCATTGATTACGATAATCGCACGAACTACAGCCAGGTTGTCTTGACCTACCTACACTCCCCTTTTGGAACTCTCAATGACTTCATGGACATCTTGATTTGCTTCTCCCAGTTCTTTTCCAATCTACTTCTACACCAGCCACAGTTGCAAGTTGAGATACGTAGTGTTTTAGTATAAAATGATGGAAAATATTTGCATCACATGATAAAGATGTTTGAGGTGTTGTTGATTTGAAAGTAGTTTGGTCAGGTCAACAGAAATTCTCAATGGCTCACTTCTCTTTGAAGTACATGCTGATGATTGTTTCAACACATATTTTTCCCGGGAATAAAATAAAATAGAACGAACTGTCGTACAGTTTACTCATCCTTTAGTTAGCAGACGGACATTTCACCTGCACCACAAGAGATACAAGTTGACAAATCCCTTCTCAATCCCTGCCGAAATTTCCTCAGACACCAGCTCATCAACGCGGATAAGACTTTCAAGTCAAGTAATTCGACTTCACGAGGAAAGCTGATTCAATCCCTATGAGTAGTTCAGGCTTTGTCGATGACTGGTCCTGATGCAACATTTCTCATTTAGACCTCAAGTAACGTATACAAAACGCAGTAGTATAAACAGTAATTGATGTCAAATACAACTTGTTTTACACATTTTACATTTCTTAAAATTCATTCGTCTTTCTTACTTTTGCTTTCTATTAAACTTGATAACTATTCGCCGTCTATCATTATAGCGTCAATAAACATATTATAACACATTTCTTTGTGGAGTCCACTTTACTTAATTTAATTCATTGAACCAAGAGAATTTAAATGAAGCAATTTATTACAAGTTAAGGAATTTAAATAGTATTGTAGTGAACAAGAACATGAGTGGGGACGATATGATATATTTGATCACAAACTTGAAGAACATCTTACTAAAATTTGAGAACCATACAGTAAATACTTAATTTGCAAAATATCAATCAATCGTCTCAAACTTGACTGTTTATTTTGCAAATATCAGTCTATCGTCTCAGATTACATTGTTTCTGCATTTTCGTATCAATTGCTTTCCGTTCCCGTTCTTTCCTTCTCGATCTACTGAAATACATCCTATTCCTGACTATCGGCATATACTACTTATGTTGATATAAGTAGCTCACACCACAGTATCACTAGACTGCATGTATTTCATAGGTTAATGAATGAATGGTTGTACTGTTTGCCTTCTCTGTCGCATTTTGCCTCCAATATATGCTTGCGTTAAATACATGCTAGAGTTTATTCATTTGTGTTTTTCTGTATTTATTTTTGGAAATAATCACTGATTGCTTGGTAATTTACAGGTATGACCAGGTTGATATAAAAAGTTAAGGGAATATTTAAAAGATGACAGTTGATTGTTTTAAAAGATTTGATTCACATATGTTTGTCAATACATGTGTAATGTACAATCGAAGTGAAATTCATAATCAAAGGTGATATAACTTTCGTATTTAATATTTAGCAATTGACTCAATCTCAACTATTGAAATTACTAAAAAGTCTCGATAAAACCCCTTCTGATACTAACCAACATATGCCCACTAGTGACTGGCTTCAAGAGGTATTTCCTGGAGTTCTAGTGAGAAGCAGTGACTAGTGGAATTGAACCGGGTCTGATGTGAGATGGTAACTCACTGATGACAATGGTGGATGTGTGGCTCAACTTCGTGGATTGGTTGAAGTTAGACATTAACACCGTTGGATGCTGACCGGCTCAGTGGTCTAGAGGTTAAGCGTTTGCGCAAGAGACTGATAGGTCCTGTGTTCGAATCTCGCGAGGCGGTATCGTGGATGTGCACTTCTGAGGAGCCCCACAGTATGATGAAACGAGCGTCCAATGCTTCCATGTTTTCCATTGTGGTCTAACTTCAATTGACTCCTAAATTCAACTATTGAAATTACTAAAATCCACAAAACGCCTTATGATACTAATTTAGTATTTGACATTGATAAAGAAATCTTTTAAAGTAAAAAATGTGATTCAACAAAGAGTTCTCTTTTTCTTTTTAATGAATTCATCTAACAATCACAATAATAATGATAACAGAAGTTTTGCTAAACATGGTAATGGTGTGGTAAAATAAAGAACTTCCAAAAAACGTTATTTTTTGTTAAGGAAACTAATGATAATTTCTCTGTTTAGAACTTGAAGATTCATTATGAAAATATATATGGAGATTATAATTGGGAAGGAAAGGTTTAACATGATATGGTAGAATGTTGAAATTGAGATATTGTTATAAGGAGAATCATAGAATAAGAAAACAAATCAGTTAAGGTTAAAAAGTTTACAGAAAGGAAGATAGAAGAGAATCAGATGGCTATGAAGGAAAAAAATTACTAGACATTTATACCATGGTAGAAGTAAAGGTCAAACCAATCTCTTTTGTACTCATAATTCTAGTTTCTTCATATGAATGGCTAGTGCTTCGGTGATTCTAAAACAATGTAAGCTAACTGCTTTTGCCAGCTGTTTACTTAACGTGTAAGTGACTCCGAGTCCGTTTTGATCGAATGATCTATGTTCACGAGTTGTTCGATTACTCAGCTTCTTATTGAGCTATTTCCACATCTTCAACCATGTGGGATAATATTGTTGAATTCTTTTGGATAAAATACTCATCGAACAACCTATATACCTGATTTCAAATGATCAGGTAAATTGACAAATACCTATGGAATTGGTTAATTCATATAGAGTTGTGTCTACATAATAGTATATGAAGAACATTAATAATTTGGGAAAGCGCTCTAAATACGTTATGAGCGTTTTAGAACGACAAACATCACATGGTTTGGTGTTATTCAATAGCTTTATGTACAAGATTAACTGGCGTCTATTGTCACTTTATAGTTGTATTGCATCTAATTTCTAAATGAAAATAAAATTTATTGAAGACTCAATAATGTAAGAGATAACACAACATGTTATCACATCTGACTGAGATATATAGTCGACTTTCCAATTTTCGTTAATTGTAGCACTCTACATCTAGTAACAGTGAATACAGTGGTCTTCAGTGCTGTTAGAGGTATAACGGCGGTTTTCACTCCCCGGTTGCCCGCACCGTGGAAGGGTTCTTCGTGAGGTACCTGAATAGGAAACTGGATTAGAGGTGGTCTTAGTGACCTGAGAACGTGACCGCGGTGCCCAAGGGACAGCTGCTTGATGTCGGTCACACACGGCCTTTTTATTAGTAGTTTTTGTGTTAGCTCCGTACTTGTTGAGACCTTACCACCGGAGACGGATATTCGTAGGATAAGGCGAGGTGTGCATTTTTAGGGTCGACCTTTTCTAACCCCACCCCTCCTTGTGGGAAGGCAGCATCGCTGTTATGCTGGTTGTCTGAAGGAAACACCTTACTGCTGTCACACCTCTGTACAATCAGCAGTACGAATTCGCCTTCGGACCTTAGGTATGTTGCTTTTAATCTTACCATTGTTCAACCGACCTGTCTGGCATGGTAGGACCTTGAGGAACGATTGTTCCGATCAGTATAGCTCGATTGTTTCGTCACGATAGGCAAGCTCGACCATCATGTCAAAGTAGCTGACTGACTGACATGTAGTAACCAACATTCTGTTTATTAAGGAGGAAGAACTCATATATCACACAAAAACGAAAAATAAGTAATATATAAGGCAATTCTACTCTAGTTTGCAATGCTCATTTATTCATCTACAACCAGAAGAAAGATAATAAACTCAAGGAGCACAGATCAATAACCACGATAAGAGAATTACTGTGATGAATCTCTTCATATAATATATATCCTTGAATGTTTCTTGACGTATTAGTTTATGTTTGAATACTTCTTTTCTAATTTTGTTTTCTCTTTTTTATTTTCAATATAGAAACTGTTTCTCGACTTAGCAAATTCAGTTTAATCAATCCAATCGATAACAATAGTAGTAATAATCATAATAATAGTACTATTAGTAGTAGTAGTGGTACATCACGTTCACGTATAAAATTAACTGCAGATCAAATAAGTTCACCACAAAATGATTTTCGACATATTGGTCATGTTGGTTCAGATGGTCGAACTTTTGGTGACATTGGTTTAGTTAGCAAAATGATTGATTTGAATGGTTAGTTTATCGATTTTTTTCTTCTGAATATCATTTTTGTTAATTATTTTAGAATAATTTCTTTGACGTGTTTATTATGTGATCAATTTAACATCGGTTAAATTGGTGTATATACAATTGTTTAATCATTTATTAGTGACTAATATCATATTTTTGTAGTCCTTCTTAGTAAGATGGTGGTTGGAGTTAGTCAACAGGAAACCCTCGACCCTGGTTTCGTGCTACTTGGCACTCGTCAGCGAGATGTACCTGTAATCTTGAGGGAACTGGTGCTCCCTGACGGATTCGATCCCGTGTCATCCAGCTGCATAGTCAGAGACATAGTGCATGCAATGTCGAGTCACGTAGACTGGTGGCCACATTGCAACTTGGTCGATAGTATTCGATCTGCACTAATAAGAATTTGACACACATGACATTGATCACCACTCAGTCATCAATCAGTTGTGATTAGTCCTTCTTAATACTCTCCGATTAGATTGCAATGTGTTCACTAGTCTAAATGCCTTGACACATTACCTGCACTAAGTTTTTCTATTAAATGATTTGAGGTATTTGCTATGAAATTGTAAACCTCAGTTTTGTGCTAATTGTTACTCACTCATCTAGAAGACTTATCTGCATTTTTGAGGTAACTGATGTTGTTTTATGTAATTCCAATCCATATCACTCATCTTTACAGTGTGTGACATAGTTTCAGCTAACATAAAACCTACATCCAATAGTATCCTAGCAATTGTTGCTAATCACATTATATAATTGATTTGCAAAATGTAAATAATATTGAGGTATCCATCCCAGGAGCTCATATAGTAACAGACATTCAACGATTCAGTTCTTATAATTTACTAAAACGTATTTAAATTAACCGACTTAACATTAAAACTTGTCATGTAAGTATGAATCAATTGAACTTCATGTAAAAATCTATTCTAGTCCATTCACTTATTTGATATGATGAGATTAATCAAATATGAACTATATTTTTGTTTATGTAGTCTCTATTATGTAACTAACAGTTCACGTTTGTGTCTCTAATTTTTTCACACACACACACACCATCGTAGTGAGAACAATTATTTCTCTCCTTCTATTTACTTTTTATTACACATCAACTGTTTGTTTTTTTCTCTCATAATTCATAAACATAATTACACTTACCATTTCATTGTATAGCGTGCTTTATCTTTTTAAGAATTGAAAAAATATATATATTATCGGTAAATAGTTGCTGACAATTTATGATCCTCTCTAATAGAATTTTGTTCATTTCATCATTATCTACTCAACGAACCAGTTAATGTGATCCCATTGTATGTATAATATGCACCCGTTAGTTATGAAAGCAAGATCTAATTCCATCTGTTGTATGTGTATGTACTTATATGTTGATTATTGTTTATAATTAATTAATTGATTGGGTAATTAACCTCTAACAATGAAACTGAATTGTTCGATCAGGAAGGGAAAGGCTATTGATTTTATACTGATTATTTTTAGATCAAAATTTAGTTCATATTGTAAATAGATTTGGATCCATGATAACTCATATAAACTGTATAAACTCTTCTTCTTAAAAACATATTAAAGCAACCAGTGTTTTTTTATTCTTAATTATTGTTGTGAATGATAAACTACTCAGTAATGTTGTATACACATTTTTCATTAACATTCTTATGTGTTTAAACTTCTGGTTTGAAATCTCCCAACTGGCCGCGAATCAATAGCATATTTATTTATTTAAACACACAAACGCTGGTACAAGGAGGCACCAAACAGATATGCGCCATTCGTGTGAGGGCTGGGATACTGCCTGGGTGCCCACACCGAAGCAGATGGTTTTCTTAGGGGATTACATCCGGAGTTTTTGGCCCAAAGGTCTAATCCACGAGGCAGTGGGGCAACATCTGGAGATGCAGTCCCATATTAGCCGGTGACCAACGATTGGTTCATACGCCATTTATTTCCTTAGGATCCTGGAGCCCATATGCATCATTACTTTGGAATGAGGGTTTTCCAACTGCCCTAGGTAGATCCTTTGTATTAAGCGTCGGGCATTCGCTTTTGGTCTCCCCAATTTCGTAAACAAAACCCCGGCCATGAGAAGGCAGTGAATAGAACTTCCCTGTCAGTAGTCGTATGAACGTGGCCGTATCAGGGCATTTGAGGCAATCAATAGCATAAAGAATTTTGGCAATATGATTAAAAATCCACTACATTGACGCGTATCCACATATTTTGTATTGTTTTCTAAATCGTCCTAGCTCAAGTATCATCCTATACACTTTATTCCTGAATTCAGTTTAGACAAAATATTTAACGTTCATTGGATATAGTAATTCTGTTACTCTCTAATTGTATCTTTGTTTTGAATCAACTCTGTGACCTCCAGTTAACAAAAAAATTGATTTAATTCAAACGTTTTGTTTGATACTTCAGTAATAATAACACTACCGATTTCTTCTGAAACCGAAATATATGAAGTAGAAGGTGAAAATGTGACACGATGACTGAAAGTCAACGATTGAAGAATGCTAGAGTTATATTTTTTTCCTTTTCAATTGAGAACATTGTCTCAGGACTTGTCTACTTCAGTACCTTGTTTTATCTTAGTGGTGTGAAGTAATTGAATAGATTTAGTAACATCAATTAATGCCGAATCGAATTGTTAGAACTCTACAAATATCGCTCAACAGAATCTCTAGATGGCGAGATAGCGCCAGGAAATGTTTTATCCAGTTTGAAGCTTCTCAGGAGCATCTAGAAAAATGAGCGGGTATGTATCACATTTGATTGGATAATCACTTATATTGTTACCATATCTAATGTTTCCAGAAGTTTCTAAGTGACTGATAAGTCTACTTCCGATTGCGTCCAAGCTATTGGCTTCCGTTATACTTCGTAGGTTGTTCAAAACCCGAGAAGGATTGACTCGCGAGGAGCAGGCTGGGTTTCGTTCCGGTCGAGGATGTATTGATCGTATCTTCACCCTCCGCCAAATGTTAGAACACCGTCATACTTATCAAAGGCCAACGATCGTAGTGTTTCTTGATATCAGAGCTGCCTTCGATTCATTGGATAGGACTGTTCTCTGGGATTGTCTATTGAAGAAGAGTGTGTCTGAGAAGTTTATTAACATCCTAAAAGCCCTATACACAAACACCTCAGCCACCTTTCTCAATTATTCCATTCGAGCAGTGGAGTTAGTCAGGGTTGCTCAATCTCACCATTCCTCTTCAACTTTGCCATCGATGACATTCTGGAAACAGCTCTGATGGATGTAAGTAATGGTGGTGTGGATCTGTTGCCTGGAGAAAGACTCCTCGACCTTGAGTATGCGAATGATATTGTCTTACTGTGCGAGAATGTTCAAGCCATGCAATCCGCACTTAATCAGTTGGCAATCAGTGTCCGTAGGTATGGTATGTGCTTTGCACCTTCGAAGTGCAAAGTACTTCTACAAGACTGGCAGGATTCTAATCCTGTACTCACTCTGGATGGTGAGCAGATAGAAGTAGTCGAGAAGTTCGTGTATCTAGGTAGCTGCATAAGTGCTGGTGGTGGTGTGAGTGATGAGATCAATGCACGTATAGTGAAAGCCAGAGCGGCTTATGCCAATCTGGGCCATCTTTGACGCCTTCGTGATGTTAGTCTGGCTGTAAAAGGTCGAATCTGCAATGCGTCGGTGAGAGCAGTTTTGCTCTATGCTTGTGAAACCTGGCCTCTCCGAGTTGAGGATGTTAGACGACTCTCTGTGTTTGATCATCGTTGTCTCCGAAGGATTGCTGACATCCAGTGGCAACACCATGTTAGTAATGCAAAGATTTGGCATCGTGTGTTCGGGCACAGAGACGATAATGAAATTGGTGTCACCATCTTGAAACACCGACTTCGGTGGCTTGGACATGTTCTACGAATGTCGTCCCAGAGAATTCCACGTCGTGTATTATTTGCCGACTCTGGGACAGGTTGGAAACAGCGGAGAGGTGGTCAGTATATGACATGGTGTCGTGGTATGAAAGAAAGCTGCAAAGGGCTGGCTTGTGTTGGTCCTTCACGACTCCCTGGTTGGGGTGTAACACAGTGGCTAGAGACGTTATCAGATGTGGCTCAGAATAGAAGCCAATGGCGATCCTGCTGTAATCTTCTTTTACTTTCTTCATAAAATGTGGTTGCTTCTTCCTTAACTGAAAGATTTCTTCTGATTGTACCTTTCCGTTTTCCCCATTATTGTTCTCTCTCTCTCTTTTTTTTATAGTTCCCCAGGTTCATTACTTTTTTTTCTCCTCTTCAAATTATCATTGTTTTGTGTGGCGCATATATATTTGGTGCCCCCTTGTACCAATATTTATGCGTTCAAATAAAAATAAATAAAATAATTAAGAGACTGATGCGATTAAAACATTATAAACACACTCAATTTTTCCTTCACAATTAACCTCTTGTTCAAGTTGACATGTAGAAAGTAGTCTAGTGCTATAGAAAGCGTCTGGGAAGTCAGTAACGAGGGCTTCAGATATAAATTTATCGAGAATCAAGTAATATACCTCGGCAATTAGTTTCCCATGATGTCTGTAGAACCAAGAAGCTAGCTTTCATATGATCAAAAAGCGTATACAATTTTCAAGAATACTCTGAAATAAATTCAATGTTAATACTTTATAATCGAACTAATGAAGAGTCCCATACTAGTACAAAATGGCCGTCTAGTGATTCCAGGTTTTTAATGGCAGTCTAGCTTAGATTAACTTGTGAATTCAACTATGGAAACAAATAACCTATTTGTCAGTAATGTCAATTTTATCGTTGAGATAACCTGTTGACACTTTTGTTTTATATTATTGGTAATCTTATTTGCATAATGCAAACAAAACCAGGTTGATAGAAAATTCGTTTGAAGAAACAGTGTAATGAGGTGTCAGTCAGTCAGCTACAACGTAGGACCAGGCACATATATGCATCGGTACAAGTTGCCATACCGCATTAGCACGGCAAGATGAACACCGGATTCACAGGAGTGGTTAAGTTAATGGTGGTAATATATAACAGAAAGATTGCATATTAGGATATAGTACAGGAAGTAAGATTTAGTACGTAGAAAGATATGAAGCGATTTTAATCTCTTAGTTGAAGGGAAGACAGAGAGTGTGATCGATTCTCAGCCAAGTCACCAAGAATCTCCAACCTTTAGTTACGATAATCACACAGACCCGAATCAAGTAGTCTGTATCTACCAACATGGCTCAAATCAGAAGTTGGTGACTTCAAGCACTGATGCCACGTTTTGGTGGAATATTTCAGAAAGGAATTGAATAAATAAATAATCTCAAGAAGATTTCCTGGTAAAGTTTTTGTAAACAAACAGGTGATCTCTTTCTATAATCAACCTTATCATTTACATGTTTCTCATTCAATCTCATTTAAATAGATAATAAAAATCTATTACATAAACTTGGCGGGATTTATTTGACCTTCATTTAATTCTCGGTATTACATGATTAGAACAAATAATTGATGTTTATAGAATTAAGAAGATTTGTGGAGAAACGAACCAATCAGATTTAAGATAACAGATCTTGGATTTTGGCGCAAAGTTCATTCACTCATTTTCCAAGTAGCGTCTTGGCACTTTAGCTGATGTTAGTTCGTGATGAAAAACTCTATATCTAATTCCTAACCCTAACTATCAACTGTGAATCATAATCCTTATTTTTCAAACTACTTTACAACCCTCATTTAGCCCTAGTAAGTAGGTAGACACTCTCAAGTTCACTCTAGCGTCACTCAAAGGTCATCCATAAATTATAGTCTCACCAAAAATCCATTATCGTTATTATTGTTATTGTTATTTTTATTACATCTCTAAACAATATGGAATAGATTAGGTATTTCACTCCCCTCACAACTCGTCAGTTGGATATACTTGTTTATTACATTGTTGATATTCACATCTAGGCTCGAATCTGATAGTAGTTCAGGTGTCATACATCAATGCGTTATCTATTAAATTTCCAATTCCAGGTGGCTACTAAACTTGGTCGGTGGCCGGAGATGAAATTGTTTGTAATTATTCCATTGTTGATATATTACCAGATTGATCATAGGTCAATCTTGATTAATAACAACAAAAAGGAAAACAAATACTTTCAATCAATAGTAAATTGTTATACTATTTTGAATATACGTAGTAGTTTAATAATGAGATTAGTGAATAGATTCAGTAGTGAAACGTAAGTTATGATTAGTCATATTCAGTAATTTTGTCATATTATAATCCATTTCAATAATATATAACTGAAACAATTACAGTAGATTTAAGAAATTTCTTCTAAAGTTGAACGACTAGTTTCATAGTATTGGGGCGTCGAGTTGATGTAAGACATTAAGGAAGAAGATGTACTTGTAAAATCTCAGCGAATGAATTTTGTTACACAGCACGTATCATACACACTAAAGCAAATATCAAACTTTAAACATCGTTGACATGGTTGGATGATCTGTTTAGTATACAATTAACCGAAGAACCATACACCTAGTTTATATTCGATATTTTTGATGTTGGATTTACTTCGAATTCATTTGTTACAAGGACATTCTTCCTCTTTAATGAATTACAATATAGTTATAGTCTGTCGCGCCAGTTTTATGATATTTATTTATTTTTAACATCTCTACAAGAAATTATTGTACACAAGAATATTGATATTGTAAACATATCGAAGGTTATGATTTTTATGACTAGACCAATTAGCATATGACTTGAATGAATGGTTTATCGGTATTAGTTTGCGTTATTTATTCTAACCGCCTCCACTCTCTCCTTCTAATATGGTTTCAGTTAAAATCTTGTTTTAAGTTGTATCTATCTATTTAATTGCTTACCATTTGTTGAAGTTCTACTGATTTCGACGGAGTTTTGTTTTCTGAGCTGGATGGTTTGGTCAAAGAGCTTTCATCGTTCTTCTGAACGACATCATCAGCACAAACTTCAGATAGAAGTGAATTTCTCCACATGTGGTTCACAGATTGTTCTGTAGAACTCGATGTTGATTGGTTCTTGTTGACCTTAAACCTTTTATTGTTTGCTTCTTTGTTTTGGTTATATCTTCCACGACCAAACCATTCAGCTCAGAGAACAAACTCTATCGAATTCATCCACCTGAACTACAAATCTTCTCCACCATCTCAGTTCTACTGATTCATTTTCTTGTAGTCTCTTTCTATTTAGAATTTTGTTAATTGCTATTTACGATGTACACAAGAATGTATCATTTTAGTCATATAGCTTATCATCTAATATTCCTACATTTCATTAAGAAATCAACTGAGAAGAGCTGGAAAGGATTTCCCAGGACAGGTTTGGATGGAGTATGCTAGTGAGCGGCCTATGCCCCTTCACAAGTAGTAACAGGCGTAAGTAAGTAAGTAGTCAATAAGAAATAAAATATTGTGGAGAGAGATTGACAACTATTGATCCTCATTCATCCACTGATTGAATTGATTTCTCATTAGTAGAGTATAAAATCTGTTTTTTAATGGTTTATTTTTTATTCAATAGATAATCTCTCTGATTCTCAATCATTTAACGATTTTACTGTATCTGAAGAAAAATGCAAACCCAATAAATCGAATACTTTGCAAATTGTAAGTTATTACTTTATTTTTTTGTATCAACAATCATGTTGTAGTTCAGTAATCACTTTGTAAAAGATAAAAAAGGATTCGAACTTGTAACCCTTAGTTGGTTTAAATATTCATCTAGCGAATAAATCCTAAATATTTCATTCCACGCTAGCTGATTGCCAATTATCGCTAATACTTTTAGTTAGCGAATTTGTGAAAACCTGTGTTAATTTATTCGTCGCTAAAATTATACAATTACTAGAGAACTGATGGGCATAAGATAGATGTGTTTCAATTTGGATTTAGACTACTTTTCAGTATGTCCTCTTAAATACACATATATATGGGATTGAACCAAGGATTTTCAAATCTTGTAGAAAACAGAATATTTTCAGACCGTCAAATGGTTAACGTACTAGGTTTATATATATATATATATATATATATATATATATATATATATATATATATATATATATATATATATATATATACTACCATGATTATTTCGACTCCGTTACTATTCATTTTGTTAATTTCATTTAGTCTTCGTAATGTATCGTATGGCAACCCGGTTTGAATAATTTTTTCTGATTAGCGTTTTTTTAACGAGTTAGTTTTCTACAGGGTGGGGTCGCTAACCCCATGCCCAACTCTCCTCCTTTACCCGGGCTTCGGACCGGCAGTAGCCCCAGAGGGGCTCCAGGCGGAGTTATGGCAACTTGGACCAACATATATTTGACCGCCTTGCTTAGTTTAAGAGATTTAATTAAATTAATCTTACTCTGGGAAAGAATGTAAACATTAATAATAATAACGAAGTTACTAAATTGTATCCTGAACGTATGTATAATAATAATGGTTTTGGTGTCATACACAGTTCCCTTTGTCATTGTAAAGATAGCAATCTTTCCGATTACTGCTTATACTTTTACTACCTCTACCACTACGGAATTCGAATCGACACTTGTATCTCTGTTCTTATGCGGTGTGTCAACTCGAACTGATGTACGTACGTACGAAGTTCTACGTTGTTACTGTCTGACTGGTTCTCGTCAGCTGCTTATAACTTGTGATTCTTAGATATCATAATTACGAAATGGGTTTAAATTACTGACATGAAACGGTTTAGTTACAAGTTACTTTGGCGACATAAAGCAAAGGTGTTCGTAATTTGAATAGACTGAATGAATTAGAAAAGGAAATTAAATTATCAAACTTACCTGAAATAAATAAAAATAAAAACAGACTAAACAAATAGCAAACAGTCAAATAGAAACAGGACAATATTATATACAAAGTGATTGACAACACAATAGAAGACAATCTTAAAATGTGAATAGCTCATACAAGGAGCCAGGTTAGACAACTACAAACGGATATCCAACAACTCAATGAGCAACTACTCAATAGCTACTCAAAACTAGACAGATTTGTTAAATATAATTCTACTATCATTGAGAAAAGAGTGTTGGTAATAAATGAAAATTGCAACCGGTAATTTGCTACCAATAAAGAGATATGTCGCCACTATAGTAATGATCATGGTCACAAACAAACAGAAATTATAAGAACAGATATTTATACGTGCCCAATAAAAATTGTCTAAAGCAATACGAAACTCAAGGATGATTTACATACAAGGACATCTCATTCATAAAAGATAACTGAAACGGAGATAGCGGAGAGTGGAAGCAAGAAGAAGATCATTCAGTTTTAATCAACCCGAATAAAAAGTAGGAAGAACAACACTCAGTAATGGACCCCTTGTGAACCACGTAACAGTGATGTTGGCAGTTTATTTGTACAGTAATCATATATATATATATATATATATATATATATATATATATATATATATATGAAGTGATGTAATTCATTATCTACGTTTTGGATATCTTCGAAATACTATGGGTTTTTACTGGTTTTTATTCTTTATGGTTTACCATTACCAGAATGAGTAAAGCTCCCACTTGAGTAGTATATATTTCTATCATAATTACTCATAACTAACCTCATCTTGGTTAACCGTTTGTTAAATGGCAATAGACATTTGTACTTGTTTTATTACAGGCTAAGTGTTTGTGTTTGTGTTTTTGTGTGTGTATAAACACTCATTCCCACTAGAACAGTATCATCATCATTGGGATGAGTATTTAATCTGACTTATCGATGCATATTTACACACACACATAGATGCACTTCTTGGCTTATTGTTTGTACAACTTAGTCACCTTTATCTGATTATGTTTAATCTCAAATATAAGTCTTTGGGCGTTGTCATATCAACATATTTGGTGAATATTTGAATACTAACCAATCACATTACTATATACACAAGAATATTTAAAATCAATTGAATCATTTAAACAAGTCATTTAATCGTATTTGTCCCATCAATACTTGTTATTCCTCCATTATTTTCTCGATATAATTTTAATCTTCTTGTTTTAAGCATTCATAGTTTTTGGTGTATTTTCAATTGTTTATGAGTGACACTTATTCCAGGTCAACAAGTCAACAATTCTTTTATAAACAGATTGTCTAAGAAGAAAAATACAAGAGCTATGCAAGCCTAGGACATCCGTCAACCTGTATTGACGAGTACATCGATTACGTTTTGTGTGTGTTTGTATGTAAATGGATGAAGATATCGATAAATTCAAGTGCTTTAGTTCGACGGTTGTAATGTAGTCTATACTTACTTACTTACGCCTGTTACTCCTCGTGGAGTAGAATAGGTCGCTCACCAGCACTCCCCATCCAACCCTATCCTTTCGAGCTCTTTCTAGTTGTTATTCATCCTTTTCATATCTGCTTCTATTTCCTGACATATTGTGTTCTTTGGCCTTCCTCTGTTCCGCTTCCTTTCACGTCCAAACCTAAATCTAGACTCATGATAACATCGTTACTAGGATGGTAATCACTGCACAAATTGTTAGCTTTTCTAACCCATCATTAAACAATTATGACTGATTATTACCATTTTCAAAATTATTACCATTACTAGGCTACAAGTTTATGGAGTGCAGAATGTGCATCTGTGGTACATTTTTCATTGATGCGTGGGTGGGTATGGGATAATACATTTAATTCACAATTGTCTTAATGTTATTCCCTATATATTCATAATTGTTAATCTCACCAACTAATGTAATTATACAATGTTTAAAACAATATTTGATTGGCCTGGCTGTTTGATTTATTGTGTGAATGACCTATGTGGGTCATGATTGCATAGAATAATCAATTGTTGGCCGATTTTATGCACTTTATAAATGGGTGTTTGAGTGTTTGTGTGTGTGTATGTATGTGACTATGGTTACTCATTACCTCGGTTTTGCCCAAGTTACTAAAATCACTGTTAACGGGGTAAATAGAATAACAACTGACTTTGCCAACTGTACATCAGATATACCTATTGATTGATTGATGTGTGTGTACTAGGCATTATTAATTATCTCGGTTACAAATTATGCCTAATCATAAAAGGATTATTTACTTAAGTGAAAATGTATGTTTGTATTTTCAAAATAAACTGTCAAATCCTTTTGTATTCACTAATTTATTCATGTTAACTGTACAAAGTTTCTTATTTGATTTCTGTATGATATCAGGGTTGGATAATAGAGAATCTCATGAGTAATATTCCTGGTTAAAGTTATCCGATTGATATAAATGAGTTTTGTCTCAGTTTTATCCTTGGTTAACATCCTTCCATTGCAATTACAAACCGATCGGAAACACAATTTTTCTAGTCATTGGGATATGACAAGAATATATTTATTATTCAATGAAAATGATGACTACTACTAGTCGGTAGCAAGACCATCTAAACCAACTGACATAATACTTATGTTATAATCAGAATGTTAACATCCAATGTCGTTGGACAGAACAAAAATGAAAGCTTTACAGTTAAACTATCACTGCTTACCTCAGCGGGCGATGTTGTTTGATGTAGGAGTTAGCTGGAAGAAAGCTAGGAGGTCAAACCAAAACATGATACTAGTCCATGAAGTCAGTGATAATTGGATTGAGCTATGTTAATAGATGTAGACTACTTTGTTGGAATCCACATGATTATCGTGACCAATGGTTAGAGACTTTAAATGATATGGCTCAAAATCGTTTGCGCATCTGTTCTTTGTCTCCCTCCAAATTCTGGGCTTATAATTTCCTTATAACCTTTTTTTGTGCTTTTATTTCATTAATTTATGTTTTATTCTCAAATCTATACCTAATCATTTCAATCATCATTGATACCATTACTGCCTTCACTATTCTTAGATTTCACCTGACAATTTCATCTCTCTGTGCTAATTGGGTATGGCAATTCGAACCAATGTACATACATATTAGGTTCTACGTTGTGACTGACTAAATTAAACATTCATCTAATTAAGATAAAGCAGTACTATCAAAAAATTACACTTCTTCCTGCAAACATTCTATGTTAATACTCTGTTGTTGTCTTTTTCTTCTTGATGATATTGACTACAGTTTATTATACATTCTTTGTTTATAGAATCCTTCGAATATTAAAATTTATCAAGAAACAACAATGAAACATATTTCATTACCAATAACAACTAACACATCAATAATTGGTGATTCGTCTGTGACAAAAAAATTTACATCAAAGAAAAACACTCACACATCAAGTACTCTCTTACCTACTAATTACAATAAATCTACGAATAAAGATTATACAGATTTATTATTCGATGATATCAAATTCAATGTGATTTCTGAATCAAATGTTAGTTGACATTATTTTAATTTTCCTACTTACTTGAAGCATTTAATTCATGAATAAATATGGTAATAGTAGTAGTAGTAACTAGATCATTAATGTTTTAGTTGTCATTACAATCTTGGATTTAACACCAACACAACTCAGATCAACAATTTGTAACGTCATCAATCGAACAGTCAGTCAGTGGTCTTGAGTGCTATTAGAGGTATGACGGCGGTTATCACTCCCCGGTTGCCCGCACCGTGGAAGGGTTCTTCGTGAGGTACCTGAATAGAAAACTGGATTAGAGGTGGTCTTAGTGACCTGAGAACGTGACCGCGGTGCCCAAGGGACAGCTGCTTGATGTCGGTCACACACGGCCTTTTTATTAGTAGTTTTTGTGTTAGCTCCGTACTTGTTGAGACCTTACCACCGGAGACGGATATTCGTAGGATAAGGCGAGGTGTGCATTTTTAGGGTCGACCTTTTCTAACCCCACCCCTCCTTGTGGGAAGGCAGCATCGCTGTTATGCTGGTTGTCTGAAGGAAACACCTTACTGCTGTCACACCTCTGTACAATCAGCAGTACGAATTCGCCTTCGGACCTTAGGTATGTTGCTTTTAATCTTACCATTGTTCAACCGACCTGTCTGGCATGGTAGGACCTTGAGGAACGATTGTTCCGATCAGTATAGCTCGATTGTTTCATCATGATAGGCAAGCTCGACCACCACGTCAAGGTAGCAACAACGGTCGTGCATCGATCGATCCTATGTATTGATTTACTCACCCGTAACATTTTTCAGATTATTCTTTTAGTAGTTATCGTTATACATCATGGTAGTCATGCGTAACTCTTGCCCTAAACAACTCAATAGATTAAGGTGTATAGTTTCATGAATTAGCTCACCTTATGCACTTCATCAAGGCTGATAAGGTTTGTAGGACTAGTTGACTGGTCGACCTCTTTCACTACTTCAATACGTATAGTCAAACTTGGCAGAACATAGTCCTTATACGAAATTGTACATTAACGTAAAGAGAAACATGTCTTAAAAATTCTTGCATTATTATTCATAGAATTCAAGACACTATTTTAGCAGCATCTTCACACTATTGAAATATGTCACGTGTATACTCTAAATCTCTTAGTTATGGAAATCAATCCTTGAAAAGTTAGATAAATATAAATAGCATATTGTTATTTCAGTACATATTTAGTTAATTAAAGACATTGTAAAGTTGATTAGTAGATTTCAGTTTGGGATTGTAGAGAATGTTGAATTCCATTGAAATCATGAACCGATTAATATAAAACCATCATCGAAAATCTGGAAGCATGGGAGGGCCATTTCGTTCTAGTATGGGACTCGACAGTGCTCATCCACGATCCCGCACGCGGGATCCTAACCGTGTCAAGTGTGAGGCAGCTACCCGCCACAGACAATGGAAGATGCTAGCGTAAAATCATGGATTGGTCGAGGTTAGACATTAACGTCGTTTTATACCGGCCCAGAGGTCGTGAGCTTGAGCGTTCTCAAGAAAGATTGTGGATGCGCACTGCCGAGGACTCCCATACTAAAATAAACAACCGTCCAGAGCTTCCAGGTTTTCCATGGTGGTCTAGCTTCGATTAAGTCATGAATTCAACCATAAAATTACTAAAAAGTCTCCACAAAACCCCTTCTGATAATAATCATTGTATGCCAACTAGTGACAGGCTGCAAGAGGTATTGAGATGGTGAAGATTTGTAGCTCAGGTAGATGACTTTGATGGAGTTTCGTTCTCCGAGCTCGATGGTTTGGTTGTGGAGTTTGTGCTGATGATGTCGTTCAGAAGAACGACCAAACCATCCAGCTAAGAGAACGAAACTTCAAGAGGTATTTCCTGGAGTTCTAGTGACAATCCGTGACCAGTGAATTTCAACCAGGCCTGTTGTGAGATCGTAACTCACTGAAGACAATGGTGGACGTGTGGCTCGACTTCGTTGATTAGTTGAAGTTAGACATTAACACCGCTGGATGCCTGTCGGCTCAGTGGTTTAGAGGTTAAGCGTTCGCGCGCAAGAGTGTGGATGCTCACTGCCGAGGAGTCCCATACTAGGATAAACATCCATTCAGTCAGTCAATCAGTAACAACGTGGAACTTCGTACGAACGAACATCAGTTTGAGTTGCCATACCACATTAGCACACAGATACAATTGTCGATTCAAATCCCGTAGTGGTAGAGGTGTTAAGAGTAATCGGAAAGATTAGGGTTTGAAGATTTTATTCAAGAAGTATAATTCAGTGAAATAAATTTGGAAAGAGAAAAGAAAGAAAGGAACATGAAGAATTCAGAAGATTAGAATTTAGGAGAACACAAAGAGTGGATGCACCTGCTTCATTGCAAACGATTTTGAGCCATGTCATTCAAGGTCTCTAACCATCGGTTGCTACCGTCTCGCGGATCCAAATCAGGTAGTCTACACCTACCAATATGGCTCAGTCCATTTGTCAGTGACTTCATGGATTTGTGTCATGTTTTGGTCTAGCAGCTCAAACCTCTCTTCCAACCAACTCCTACACCAGAAGACATCGCACGTCGGGACAGTCGGTTGTTGGGCATACGTAACACATGTCCCATCCATCTCAACTGATGAAGTTTCACTACTTCATCAATTGATTTGCCATCCTTACCTAGTACCCGTTTCCTAACAACTGAGTTACTTACTCGGTGGTCCCAGGATATACGAGCAATGTTTCGAAGACATTCATGGTCGAATACTAGTAACCTACGAATATCCTCTACTCTTACGGCCATGTTTCACTGCCATAAAGTAGGACGGAAGGAACTGCTGCTCAGTAAACACGTCGTTTGGTTGATAGACGGATATCTCGCCTACGCCACGAATGACGCAAGTTGGCAAAAGCTAGTCTAGCCTTCTGTATCCGTGCTGAGATTTCGTCACACACCAGACCACCAGGTCGAAAACCAGCCTGGTTTTCTCTAGTCTGCTCTTCAAGAGCTTTGGTTAGATGTCGAAGTAATCTTGAACCCAATATTTTAGACACTATATTAGTCAAACTAATTCCTCTGTGATTGTCACAAGAGGACTTTTGTCCTTTCTTATAGACTGGTACAATCAGTGATTGAGACCAGTCGGATGAGATTACGTCCAGTTCCCAGATTCTACCTAAGATCACAGTCAATCTCGCTGCTAATACTGGACCACCATCCTTAAAAATATCAGGGGTAAACCTGTCAGGGCCTGCTGATCTCCCACGCTTCAGATTTCCTATAGCTTTTTCAACTTCATAAAGAGTCGGAGGACTTACATTAATTTGCCATTCAGGTAGATTGGAGATCGTGGGAAACCGAAGTGTGGCTGAAGGTCAGTTGAACTGATCCCTAAAGTGTTCTGCCCATCGATCCAATCTCCTGGATTGAGAATGAATAATATGTCCATCTTTCTCTGAGATAGTTTCGCTAACAGTTGAGTTCCTAATACCGGTCTCCTTAACAAGTTTGAACAGTTGCCTACTGTTACCTATTGCCGCTGCCTTTTCCATCTCTCTTGCTTTCGCTACCCACCACTGTTCATGATCATTGTGTAGGCTTCTAGTCAGCTTACGCTTAAGCTGACTCCGCTCTTCGTTATGTTCAGAGCCAGATGGAATGAGTTTTCGAGCATCTATCAGTGTGGTAGGTGCTGCTGAGATCCAGTGTTTCTCTCTAACCTTATGGTTCACCGTACTTGCAGACATCACTGCTGTTTCTTCAGCTTTCCGGATGTCATTCCACACTGCCTCGGGGTGGGCATCACTTACATGGCTGCCTAACTGTTTTTCTAGTTGTTCCTGAAATATACTCTTAGCTTGACTATCATTAAGCAGGACCCTAAGGGGTTACCTTATACCATCTTTCCTACGTCCAGTAAGACGTAGACAAATACGCGCTCGCACTAGAGCATGATCTGAGTCTAAGCATGTGCTTCAGAATGAGCGACAGTCTTCTATCGAACCCCTCCATCGGTGGCTGATAGAGATGTGATTTATTTGGGTCCAAGTCCTAGCTAAGGAAGCCTGTTGTTCTATTTGGCACAGTGTTCGGACGTTGAAAGCTCCTACGTGTAGTTTAGAGCATGGTTTCAGGAGACCTGGAATAACGTTCCGCGTACTCAAATCGTTCGCACTAGCGGGGTGAGGTGATAAAGGAACGTGATAAGGGTTAGTCGTGGAGATAACAGAGGTATTAGGAGGTGTAGGAAGGATTTGAATGTGACCGACTTGGTCTCGTGTGTTGTCACGGGTATGAAGGCTGATGTCACTTCCTGGTTGCCCACATCGTGGAAGGGTATTTCCTGAAGAACCTGAAAAGTAAGTCGGATCGGTGTTCATCTTCACGACCTAGGAGCGTGACTGCAGAGCCCAAGGGACAACTGCTTGAGGCCGGTCGCGCACGGCCTTTTTGTGTGAGGTTTTCAATATGTTAGCTCCGTTCCTCAAGGGGCCTTACCGCCGGAGACGGAGATCCGTGAGGTTAGGTGAGGTGTGACATTTTTAGGGTTAACCTTTTCTAACCCCTTCGTTTCTTGTGAGAAGGCAGCATCGCTGCAGATGCTGGTTGTCCGAGGGAAACACCTTACTGCTGTCACACCTCTGTACAGTCAGCAGTACGACTTCTCCCTCAGACCTTGAGTTGTTGCTTTTAGTCTTACCGTTCTCCAATCGACCTGCCTGGCATGGTAGAACCTACAGGAACATATGTACTAATCAGTATAGCTCGATTGTTTCATCACGATAGGCAAGCTCGACCACCACATCAAGGTAGCAGCTACGGTCGGGAAAAACATCCATTCAGTACTTCCAAGTTTTCAATAATGGTCTAATAGTGATCGGTTCATAATATCAACCATAGATTTTAGTTGATAAATTTTCTTTTTTAAGAACTAAACAATTTGACATTCATTATTCTCAACATAGACTACTACCACGCAAAATGATCGAAAATATACATTAATTCAGTGGGATAAGTTTCTTTAAATGTTATAAATAAAAAATATTGCATACTAAGATAAACGGCCGTCCAATACTTCCAGGTTTTCCATGGTGGTTTAGCTTCAATTGACTTATGATTTCAACTATTGATACTACATAATAGTTAATCAATATTTTACGTGAAATATACATCAGACAAAGTTGTCTATTCTATTCAAGTTTATTTATTAGTCTATCTGAGAGACACATATCATGTATACTCTGAAATTTTTCTCTTAGAGACAAAAAAAACAATGGTCCAAGGTTTCATTTTTATTTCACATAAAATAACAAAGATTAATTAAATCCAGTTAGTCAATATGTACTGTAATCATATACTTCTTTTGTCACCTTCTTAGTTCAAATATCTAAACTTGTAGGATATTTTCCATTGGAATTACTTAATCTTTGTTTGTATGTACACAGACGAATAGATTTGTTGTTATGTTAACTGAATAAAATCAATGATAATAACTAGTAGGTAAGGAGGGGGGAGGTTGAGCCAAAACATGATAATCATTCCTTTTGTTAATTTAGTTCTGATTCTATGCATTACTGTATATCTGATTTACTTTGTCTCCCTAACTCCCTCCTTCTCTCTCTACCGAATTTGTTGAATTACGAAATGAATAGTTGTTTTTTTTCCATATGTACATTGAATGACTAGGTCTGTATACAAGGATATACAATAGTTGTAGTTAGGTTCATTATAGAAGTTTATTATTTTACCTAGAAAGAAAAAAGAAAACTTTACATTGACCTTGATTTGAAGACATTTACAATTTGTAATAAACATTCTCGTTTAAAATAATAAGTTTCTAATAATTGAGATCATGAGTCAATTGAAGCCAGATCATCATGGAAAACCTGGAAGCACTGGACGGCCGTTTCATCCTAGTAGTTAGTTAAAATATTGGGTTATATTTTAATTTTTCTATCCTTACACATACATTGTAGAACTTGAGAGAAAAATGTATTGAATTCAGTCGGTGTAAGTTAGACCACCATTGAAAATCTGGAAGACTCAGTAGTTTAGAGGATATGTGCTCGTGCGCGAAACCAAATGTCCTATGATCGAGTCCTGAATGTGGGGTCGTGTATGCACACTGCTGAGGAGTTTCATACTAGAACCGAACGGTCGTCCAATGCTTCCAGGTTTTCCAAGTGGTCTAGCTTACATGGACTGATGAATTGTACTATTAAAATTCCTACAATCTCCGTAAACCCCGATTATGAAAAAAATATGTCACATCATTACAGTAAAAATGAGTGAAGGGAAGTCAAATTTGAAAAAGAAATTACCTAAAAATGGTGGTATCTTTAAGACTATGGTTCAAATCGATAAATAGAAAGTAATAATAACAATTAATATTTAGAGAAACACGCCGAACAAATACATCTGCGATCGGGCTTTTTCTGAGGTCTTCATCTGTTGATCATGGTTATCGCTTTTACTCTGACCTGATAGTTATCACTTTCCTTCAACCTACTTATATTCTAATCAGTATTTCATAACGTGTTATAGATAGTTAAGTATGGGTAAAACGTTTCCTGATCCCTTTAGTTATTGAAGCCTATGGTATCATGGATCAGTTTACCTTGTTTGTTTAGTACTCTAAAAGTGACCAAATTAATACATCACACTAGTCCATAAAACCACTGACAATTTGTTAGAGCCATGTTAATATGTGTGGACTACTTGATTGGGATCCACATGGTTAGCTTAACCGAAGTTTAGAAACTTGGAATGACATGGCTCTGAATATCATGCAGTAGTGCAGGTGTATTTACTCTGTGCTGTATTTGAGGATCTCGATTTTTCCCTTGTGTATGTTGAGGCCTTCTGATGCAGATGATTCTGCTACACTGGCTGTCTGCACCTGAATTTTCTGGTGTGTGGTATAGAAGGGCCAGGTCATCTTTGAAGTCCAAATCGTCCAGTTGCATCCAACCTGTCCATTGTATTCCGTGCTTCCCCTTGAGGTGTGGAGTTCTTCCTGATCTAGTCAACCACCAGAACAAAGAAAGCGGGAGAGTAGGAAGTCTTGTATGACAATAGTCTTCGCTTGGAATGTATTTGTTAGCTGTACTCCGTGCACCGCTTTGCACAGTAGTCGGTCGTATGAAATCTGCATTATGTTGACGATTTTCTCAGATACACTGTAGTGTCGAAGAAGTTTCCATAATGTTCTCCTATCCACACTGTCAAACGCTTTTTCATAGTCAATAAAGTTGATGTATAGTGACGAGTCCCATTCAATTGATTGTTCAACAATGATCCATAGTGTCGCAATTTCGCCTGTACACTACCGATCTTTACGGAACCCGGTCTGTTGATCTGAAAGCTGGGCGTATACTGAATCCTTCATCCAATTCAACAACAATGGTGCTGACAGTAGTGTGGTGCTTTTGTAGTTTTCACATTTGTTCAGACCTCCTTTCTTAGATATCTTGATGAGGTATCCTTCTTTCCATTCCGTCGGCACATGTTCTTCTTCCGAAATCTTCCTGAATAGAGTGTGAAGTATGTCTGCAGTTACTTTTACGTCTGACTTCAGAGCATCAGCTGGTATATTGTCAGGTGCTGCTACTTTCCTGCTCTTGATTTGTCTGATGGTCATCCTGATTTTTTCGATCGTTAATGGGATGACATATCTTTGATCCAAACTGCAGAATGTACGACGTCACTCAATTAGTGGCATTAGGTTTCGTTCATACTTCATGGTATAGAGAAATTGAAGTTCACAAATTGTTATTATGTGATCCTGATTTTGTGTCCTTAGCACAACGATCAGTCACATTTAGTTGAAGAGAAAAGGAAAAGTCATCTGGGGAGCGATCTGTTTCTGAATGTCTATTTCATATATGTAGTTTGGCTGAACCAAGAAGTTCGGAAAATTCAATTGTTTTGGCTTAAAAAGGCTTTTCTTCTGTTAGTATCATTCAATTGTCTACATCCTAGCCTATTGTTCCCTTCACAACTCATTTACCAAGTACACTTTTGCATAATCGACTTTGATCCCCAACTGAACTTCTAAAGCTAGAATAAAGTTATTACCAGTAAGCTATCAGTGGTAAAATTTAATTGTTTTCACTAGTAAATGTTACTTCTGAACATTGACTACTTGTTTTTATGGGATAATATAGAACAGTGAGACATCTTGATCATTAAAATTTCAAGACTAATTTGTATTCTGTCGAGTTTATGAATAGATTGTAAAATTACATGAAGATCTTATTTTCAACTCAGTTTGGAATAATGAGTGTATATTTCTGAAGAGTTCTCTGCTAAGACAAAATGAAAATGCCCAATATCGCTTCATTTTAAATGGTTGTTTAACTAAAGTCTTCTGTTAGATGAATACATTTTTCACTAACATCCCACTTTATACTACTTGATTGATGCATTCCATGCTAACTACTCACAAGTAGTTTGATGTTGCATTTGTAACTTTTAACTACTGTCTCACTACAATCTTGTTTTTATATTTACCAGGGGTTAGATTTAGGCTCATCATTACTAGATGAAGTATTCAAATGTTTCCCAATAGAAAAATCCACTACCAATGACAATGTGAATCATAATACTGATGGTGCTAAAAAGTCAAATGGTGTGACTACTACTACTACTACTGCCATTACTACTAATAATAGGGATATTAAAGATCATTCTAATTGTGACGATTCGCTTCAAATGAATGGTACACGTATTGATGGTTCTACAAGGTGAACTTTTTTTATTAATTTAATGTTTGGTTTTTGTGTTTATTTTATCCAAATTTAGGTTAATTTTAGACCATTTATACTAATTAAATTTATATTACATCAAGTGTGCTAACTATTAAAAATGAACGTAATTACTGGTTAGCTAGGTTGTGTCAAATACTAGGGACAAGTGTGTCATCCTATTTTTTAGGGCTTCATAATAGTATCTATTCATAACCTTCAAGATACTCATGATGAGTATGATGCAATTTTTTAACGTCTAAGTGGGAATTTAATGTTTCACCGTGTTCAACTTCCATGTACTATGATCCTCATAGGGTTTTTTCTCTTATGTTATTACCTCCCCACTGGATTGATAGACCTTAACAAACAACGGAAAAGATTATATAAATATGCATATGTACGATAAATCAACTTGATTGGTGTGAATAGTATGACCGTGTGTCGATTAACACTAAGAGCTTCTGATCAATATCAGAAGGGGTTCTGTGGATATGATATTAATTTTATTAGTTAAAATCATGAGTTAATTGAAGCTAGACCACCATGGAAAACCTGGAACCACTGGACGGCCATTTCGTTCTATTGTGGGACTCCTCATCAGTGCTTACCCACAATCCCACCTCGCAAAATTCGAACCCAGGACCTGTCTAGTGAGAAGCAATGACCAGTGGAGTTCAACCTAGTCTGTTGTCAGATAGTAACTCACTGAAGACAATGGTGGACGAAACGACCGTCCGGTGCTTTCAGATTTTTCATGGCGGTCTAGGTTCAATTGACTCATGAACTCAACTATTAAAATTTCTAATCAATAGATGGCAGAACTCTATCAGTCACAGCGATGGGAGATGTTCGCTTTTTCTAGAAAAATAATATTGTAAAAGCAAATTTCCTCCAATAAATGATATCTCGTTAACTGAGTATCTAACGCTGGCTAAATCTCCTAGTAGAGTTATGGATTTACTCGAGATTATTCAGAAGCCTGAACACTAGTTGTAAAGATATTTTATTGTTAAAGATTATTAAAAGCCACAAGCGTACAGCAAGCAAGCACCGAGTGAAACAAAGTGTGTGTGTGTTAGTGTTAAAAATCCATATATATTTATGAGTGTTAATCAAGTGTGGATAGATTATTGATTATCTGTGTGTTACAACCAATGGGAGAATAGATTAAGGATTGATGTGCAGACACGCGCATAATCATACTCATACAGAAACTAACATAGTAGAGTAAGCGTCTAAATTACAGTGAGTAGACAAATAATACATTAGTGGAATGGGCTTACTACAATACACGTCTTTTTAAAGATTATTTTTCAAAAAAACAAATGTAATTAAATACTATGTATAATATAAATGATTGTAAGATACGTGTTTCTATGTAGGTTCTACACATCAGTTAATAAAATCTGAGACTTGAATCTTATCAAGCTTATTTCTTAGCATTCATATAACATTTCAAGTACTTTAAGTGTACTATTGTATAAGTTTTGTATCATAATTGAATTGAATACAGTAGATAAGTAATATGCTTACTATATATGTCTTTTGATTGGTTACCTAATTAGAAGGCGCTTAATAACCAATAAGCATTAAAGCCTCTCCTTGTGGTTTATCGGTTTGCATGTAAAGTCGTGATATAGAAGGTCACTGGTCCTATTGGCCATGTAAGTGACTTTTTCGATAATTGGAATCCTCATTGAGCAATATAACATGTGATAGTGATCAGTAACTCATGCCACAAAAAATTGACGATCATAAGACATAATAATGGTATTAATAGCATTTCGATATTCTTGCAATTTAATTGTGTTGTTCTGTAGACATGATAATATTGTGACATTTTAGGTATTTCCTTAACCTCTGTATAAATCTTGTATGTAAGCATAGTCACCACTGAGTTTCTTTTAAACATATTTGGATTCTAAATACATACTGTTTAATTTCTTTAAGTTCAAGGAATTGCTTTGCCTTTGCTAATGTTAAACTAACATTTCATATGAGTTCAGTTCATTACTCATATGTTTTGTCTTTTGTCGCATCAGTGATGTAACAGCATTATTTAGAATTGAAATATGATGTTTCTGTCATAATCCCTGCGTTACTGATTAAAAACAGTTTTCACAATCTGACTGATTTTTGATTAAACAAGTCACAACCTCCTTTCATCAAAATATCATGATGCTCATCTTGACAACACTAGATGAGGATCCACCTCACTGACAGGAATGCAAACCATTGGTTATCAAGTCATTGACTTAACAGTGCCATACTCGTTGATAAAAGTGAAGATTTTTGGGTTCAATTTTGTGTTAAATTATGAGCTTGCTCACATTCTATTTTTTCATTTTTTTATATATTCTAGATCGAATTCAACTGATTATTTAAACAAAGAATCTCTAGCAACCAACAGTACCATATTTAGTCAAACATCAGATTTGACTGGACGTGGTAAACATTCATCAAAATCAAATGGATTTCGTATTCCTCCTTTAATAAATAAAATTAATCGTTTAGAAATATCGATACCATCTACTACTACTACTAGTACTACTACCACAACCGCTACTACTATTACTACTGACAATTATAGAAGTAGAAAAAATAAAAATAATCAAATAAAAACATTGAATAATAATTATGAACAATCTAATGATGAATTAAATGATTCAACCTATACTGATAATACAATCATTGATGATAGTCCTGTTGCTGTTGTTGTTGATGATAGTGATAAAGATGATTGTCATAATCGTCAACGTCATCATCATCTTGAAAACATGAAAATGAATAATATTGTTAATAATAATAAAACAGAGTCAAAATTTTCATGGAAACGTAGTTCATTTAGTAGTTTAACACATCGTAGTTCATCAATATCAAAATCATTAAATAAAACTAATATTATTAATGGATTTAATCAATTAGATAATGAAAATAATAATAATAATATTAATAAACGATTAACAATTAGTAGACCAATTTTATTAAGTCGACCAAATTCAGGTAAGTTTGGATATTTTTTTCTTTCATTTTTGTCTCCTTTTTTTAGTTTTATTGATTTTTAATAGAACAAGATCGGTAATGTATAAACCATTAACTTTCTAGTATTTTATCATTTCCTACAAATGGAAAGCATAAGGTGTAATGTATAGAAGTAGTTTTACTTCAAGACATAGATATCTTGGACTAATTGTTCATGTATCGTGAAATGATCAAACGAATATTTGATTTATGTAGTTTTGCATCCTCGTTGAATAAAATGGTCGGAATATGTGTTACATATGCTCAACCGCCTCCTACCTCGATTTCAAATGTTAGATGGAGTACGCATGAGTTGTAAAAAAGCTAGAGATGATCAAACGAAATCATACCATATGTTCATGAAGTTAGTGGTTGAGATTCTACATGTCATCGTTCAAAATCATTCACAGTTGCACAAATGCATTCTTATCTATCTTAATCTAGATCTTGATTTCTAGTACCTCTCCAAACATACCTTATCGAACCACATCTTTAATAGTCAGTCTTGGTCATGATCATCGTTACAACAATATATCACATTCGTCATTACATTTTGTCAATTTCATTTCATTATGCTAATGTGTTGTAAAAACGTTGGCTATCGCACGTTTGTGCTGGGTCTCTTTGTTAGTTATAACTGACGGTTTTCAAAAGCGGTGCCTATTATAGAAATATACGTGACACTGAGGTTCTAGAATCTCTTGAGTAATACACTAGCCTTGTTGATAAATTCTATAATTATCAAATCAGAATGAAATAGGTCTAATCAGTCGTTTTCTGAATGTTTTTAATTGGTTAGAACTCAGATTATTCTATCTGCTAAATGAAAGTTAAGGGCGGCCAGACCAAAACGTGGCATCAATGCTTGAAATCACTAACTTCTAATCTGAGCCATGTTGGTAGATCCAACCGATGGTTGGAAACTCTTGGTGACATGGCTCAGAATCTATCACAATGGTGTAGGTGTATACACTCTCTGTCTTCCTTTAAACTATGAGTTTAAAATCGCTTCATATCTTTCTTTCTACAAACTAATTCTTTATTCCTGTACTACTCCTTATATGCAATCTTTCTTTTATATATCACCACCACTGAATTAACTACTTATATGAATCCGGTGTTCATGTTGTTGCGCTAATGAGGTATGGCAACTTGAACCGATGTATATATGTGCCTGGTCCTACGTTGTGGTTGACTGGCTGACTGACTGAATTTGAAACCTAATCACTCTGGCTAATAAGTCAACATTACCAGGATAGAAGTGACTTACACTAAGTCACGAAACGTCAGAAAATCTAATTTTTCTACTCATTGGAATATTACAAATATATTATTTATTTATTACCAGGGTATGTTTAAGGTAAGAACAAACTGTTTTTGAATACACAAAGGGGGGTTGAACTTTCGTATGGCTAAGGCTTCGATAAACCTTAGTATACGCTCCTTTTACACCTATGCAACAGCGCAGAAGCCGAGTTTAGATCAATCTTATGACCTGTTTCAATTATATGTTTATAAATAGAGGATGATGGATGTTTATCCTCTACTCATATTCATTATTTTCAAAAATCCACTCATATATAACTGTCTACATTGTGTTACTTTTCTCCTAAATCTTTAATTCATTTATGTATATTGAATTTTGTCTATTCTAATTCTTATCCTTTTCTAGTTTATGTGTAAGCAACAATTAATTGAGATTTGTTGTTGTCTGAACGACTAGTGGATTATGAATATCACTGTATTTTGTGTATGATTTTTTGTGGAATTTCTAGTGCTTTCAGGTTTAATATAATGGTCTAGCTCTGATCGATTCATAAATTCAACTATTAAATTCCTAGGTCAATTAAATTGAGACCACCATGGAAAATCTGGGAGTACTGAATGGTCATCTCGTCTTAGCAATGCGCATCCACGACCCCACCTCGCGGGATTTGAACCCGTGACCTATCGGTTTTGTGAATCTCGCGAGGCGAGATGTGCACTGCTGAGGAGTCCCATGGTAGGAAGAGACGGTTTTCCAGTGCTTCCACGTTTTTCATGGTGGTCTAGCTTCAACTTACACATGAATTCAACCATTAAATTACTATAATATCTACAAAACCTCTCTTTGATTAAATTCTTTTCCAGCCATATTTTCTTATTTTAGTTATGTTACTTATAAGTAGTGAAAATGTCAATCTAAAATAAACGTTGAGTTGTGTACTAGGAAACTTCATCAGTTTAGATGGATGGGACATGTGTTACGTATGCCCAACAACCGACTGTCCCAACGTGCGATGTCTTCTGGTGTAGGAGTTGGTTGGAAGAGAGGTTTGAGCTGCTAGACCAAAACATGACACAAATCCATGAAGTCACTGACAAATGGACTGAGCCATATTGGTAGGTGTAGACTACCTGATTTGGATCCGCGAGACGGTAGCAACCGATGGTTAGAGACCTTGAATGACATGGCTCAAAATCGTTTGCAATGAAGCAGGTGCATCCATTCTTTGTGTCTTCTCAAATTCCAATTTTCTGAATTCTCCTTGTCTCTTTTTTGTCTCTTTCCAAATTTCTTTCACTGGATTATACTCTTTGAACAACACATTCAAACCCTAATCTTTCCTCCTACTGCCTGTACTTTTACTACTTCTACCACTATGGAATTCTAATTGAAAACTGAATCTCTGTGCTAATGTGGTATGGCAACTTTAATTGATGTACGTATGTACGAAGTTTTACGTTGTTACTGATTGACTGACTGACTGTGTATTAGGAAATTTGAAGTCATAGAATATTAAAAGTATTACATTTGCGTGTTGTTATTATTAGTATTATTAGTTTTAGTATTTAACAGACAAAATATTCTGTTAAAAATAGGTGTTTTAAGATTACATCAATGAAGTGATGACATTATTCTAAAAATATATAACAGTAGTAATAGTTTTATTTAATACTATGTGTTTAATGTAGTAGAGAATTCATGTTCTGAAATGTTTCGAGAAGTATCTCCTTCTGTATATATGTACCTCAGAATTTAGTCACTTAAAAATGACAAAGAAAGTTCGCTGGTTTTATATCCCCTGAGTTAGATAGTTTGATTGTTGAAACCAAGATCCGATCTTAGTTAAATCACCATTGAAAACCTAAAAACATTGGACAGCCGTTTCTTTCTAGTATGGGACTCCTCGGCAGTGCACATCTACGTTTTTCACACGAGACCTTAACCCGTGGAAGACAATGGAAAATGGTTTTGCGATGTTATGGATCGATTAAAGTCAGACACCCACACCGTTGGATGCTCTAGGTTTTAGGCATCTGGGCGTGAGGCCCAATATTCTGGGCTCGAGTCCGGCACGGGTATCGTGGTGCACGCCTCTGGGAAGTTTCATACTACGATGAGACGGCCGTCTCGTGCTTTCAAGTTTTCACTGATGGAATAACATTGATCACTTCATAATTTCAATGAAATCCAACGATCTCCACGATCCTATACTCGGAATTATCATGTTGTAGTAAGACTTCCAACTCTTGCACAAATGCTTAATTATTTCTTTTGATAGCTTTCTTTGTGATTGTCTTAATAGGTTTTGATCTATTGGCTTAGTACCGTTTGCTTGATTGGTCTTTCTCATATAGATTAATAGACTGGATCTTTGCTGATATATTTATTGAACTGTCAGTTAATATGAATGCTTTGCTTCTATAAATTCTCGTGTATTCTCAAAATCTTTTACATGTCATCAATCCAATTCGTGTATGTAATAATAGTAGTAATGTACGTGTACTGATATCACCGATAACAAATCATGTTGTTTTCTTGCTTGAGAATTTCCAACAGATTTATCGACTTAGATTTACTTTTCTTTATCCATTAAGAAAATGGTCAATCTACCATATAGTCAAAAGTCAACTGAATAAAACCTGTAAAGACATTTAGTCGCAAAGATATTTATCAGAAAGAACTGTCTCAACACTTTTGCGATAACTGAAGATTTCACTTCTACTTGAAGTAGATTTCAGGTTTGTGCTGATGATGTCGTTCAGAAGAACCATGAATGCTCCACAACCAAACCATCCAGCTTAGAGAAAAAAAAACTCCATCAACATGAATAATTAATCACCATATATTCAACTACAACATTTTTAGCTTGTCTTTATCTTGTAACGTTTTTGTCGCATTAATATATGTGTACTATTAAATAAGATATCTTCAAGTCTTCATTATTTCTCTTTGCGAACATAGACTGTCCATTTACGTAAGCTCTTTTGCATCTGTTTGTGACTATTGAACATCTGAAAAAACTGAGGGGGGCCAGCGAGCTAAGTTGTTTGCATAGTTGTTTTTTTCATTTACTACTTTTAATCTAACCCCCTCTACTACTTTGGTCAGCTGGATAATAATCTTATCAGTCTTCACATTCAAAGTGTAACTAGTATAGACATACCTGTATTTTGAGATGATGGAAAATATGCGTGGCTCAGGATGAGGATTTTGAGCATGAATGATTTAATCACGAAGTTTTCGTTACGTACTTTGACTATATCATCAGCACATAATTCAACAAGAAATGAATTGGTGGCATTGCTTGACAATTGTCTATCTGCTTGTTCTACTGACCCTATAATTTGGTTAGTTTTTGTCCAGTTGTTGTTTATTTGTCTGTTTTGACTTTCTATCTTTGACTTTGGAGTTGTTTATCCTTTTCGTGATTGGTTGTTAGATTTAGTCAATTCCGATATGCCTATTGATTGATACGTTATCAGAGATGCATGCTTCTAAGAATTCTCTAGCTTTCTTTGTATATCTTTTGTTCAATACTTCTATGCTTCCCCATTCGAAATCATGTCCATAGTTGTTCACATCCAATGATATGAGAAAAGCTATGTCGTGACGTTCAACCGCTAGTGTGATGTTCACGTAGACGGAGCAGATGGCCACTTTGTTTTACGTAATGCTTTTCGTAGCTTCTGTAATTAGCTTTATAGATGATGTTTCGTTTTTCTCCGTTTGTTGTCATGTTCTTTGTTCTGCACAATATTGATTGTAGAGTTTTTGTGGGTTTGTGTGCTACACCTATTGTTAGCGGTTTGAATAATCTGTTTATCACAAACAGATTAGCCTTCATACTAAAAATGTAGCCGACATAAGAAATACCTGGCAAACATTACAGTATCAAATTTGACATTAAAGATAGTATTTTGATCTATATCTATTAGTTAATATGTTCAATGCAATATATCTATAATTCATAGTTATTTTGTTGAATAAAACATTTCATTTTATTCACTTATGTATTCATTTCATTATTAAGTTACACATACAACTTTAAATCGTCTAGCATCCAATTCATCATCATCTTCAATTATTGGTAATCTAACTGAACCAAGTAGTTTAGGTAGTTCAACAACAAGTCGTGATAGTTCATTAACTGTTGTTTCATCATCATACAATGGTTGCAGCAGCAGTAGTGGTGGTGGTGGTGGTGTTGGTATCGGCTACAGTCTCGTCGGCCCTAGTATCGGTGGATATACATCACTAAATAATACTGCTAGTCAGGATGAATCAGCATTTACAGAGCAACAACAGCAAACTCAACATCAGTCTTCAATATCATCATCATGTTATTACGAGACATCTACAAATGGATCACTTTCACCAGCGTCTAGTCTATCATCTATGATATCGGCTACATGTGTTCCATCTCATTCGTTAACATCCAGTATTTCAAATTCTATAAATAATAATAATTCTACATCATTATGCAATAATAATAGTACATCGATTGCACAAGGTTGTCTACGAGCATTAAGATCTGGTGAAACAGTATTTCGTGCATCAACGAATATTTCAACTAGTACATTGAATTCACGAAGAAAAGTTAGTACATCTTCAAGAACAAATACTCCAATGTTGTTGACAGATGAAAGAGCAACAAATCCAAGGTAAATACACAATTTTACTTCAGTTTTTTTGTAGATTTATGCTTGTCTATATATTAGTTTTTTTTCTTTTTTTTCTCTCCATGGACCTGTCATTCATCCAGAACGTGAGATGTGTGTCATTATAAGTTGAGGTTAAGCATTCGCTCTCGAAACCGAAGATTGTTGGTTCTAATCCCGCGCGCGGGATCGTATATACTCACTTCTAAGGAGTCCATACTAAGATGAAACGGCTGTCCATTGCTTCAGGTTTACAATGAAGGTCTGTCATTGGTCGATTCATGATCTCAATCAAAACTCAACAATCTCCACAACCCTATACTGATCATTTTTTCTTCTTGAATCATGTTGTTTATCCCCAATTTTTTCTACTATCAATAATCTTCTGTTAATATTTCTAATGCTGTGCTATTTGTCTTGATCGTTTCTTATCACTATGCTGACATGCTGTATCGGCTGAAAACACTGTTTGACATAGGTTTAGTGCTAGGTGACAACCATGTGTACCTGCGAATTTGAAGGGATTGATGTTTCCTGTAAGGTTTGTTCTCCATACAACTTGATCGGCAGAAAACATCAACAGGAAATATCAGTTCCCTTGGGATTTCAGGCACACCTTACTGATGAGATTTAGTTAGCACGAAACCTTTGTCTAGGACTTGCCCCTCAACTACCTCCAACAATATAACATAAAATGGATTATTTATAAATACTCTCTGACTCTTAGATGGTGGTTGGAGCTAGCCAACAGAAAGCCCTGGACTCGGGTTTCATGCTACTTGGCACTCGTCAGCAAGGTTTACCTGTAATCTTGAGGGAACTGGTGCTCTCTAATGGATTCGATCCCGTGTCACCCATATTCACAGTCAGAGACGTTACCACTGAGCTATCGGGCCGCGATTGACCTCCTGTAGGGCTGAGATGTAATTACAGTGAGTTGATCACTGGGTGGTAATCAATGTCATGTGTGTCAAGTCCTCCTTCTCAACATAGTCCACGCAATGTCGAGTCACTTAGACTAGTGGCTACATTGCAACTTGGTCGATAGCATTCGACCTTCACTAAGAAGGAATTGGCACACGTGACATTGATCACCACCCAGTGATCAATCAATTGTGACATTGTGGCTTTGTTAGTTTCATTTACATCAGAATTATTTTTTCTTATTGTAGAATCAAAAATTTATCACCAACTGTAACATTAGTTAACTTATCAACAAAAAGTTCCAATGATGATGCTGTTTCTTCATCAAGTTTATTAAGAAAGAAATCCAACTTATTATTTAATCGTGATATATATCAGCCATCATCATCAACTGAATGTAGTCCAAATCATCATTTAACTAATTCTACTAATATAACAACTGGCATTAATACTAGTCATGCATTACAACAACATAAAACTTTAAATCGTGTAGAGCTATCACATTCATCATCATCTTCATCGTCAATATCACCACTATCTACACCATTTTTAGGTGAATCAACGGTACAGTGTTCTCAAACATGTATGTTGCATCAATTTCAATATTCTTCATTACCATTATTATTTTCTTGTCAATATATAGAATTAAGTATGTCCTAAGGTGATTTTTGGACATTGATTTCCTACCAAGAGGTTCACTTATGAACAACAACACCCCCGCCATGAGAATGCAGTGAGTAGGACTTTCCTGTCAGTGGGTGTGTGCACGTGGTCATATGAGAATATTTCGAGAGGGAGAGCTGACTCTCGGCCGTACCAGGGCATTTAGGGGCCTGTTCATTATAGGATTAAGATAAATAAGATTTGTTAAGATAGTTCTCATTTGGTTATTAATTTTCATTACGCATTAATAGTAATTGAAGAACTATGTAAAAGTAAACAACACGCTGAACCTCTATTAATTCCCTAGTTTAATAAATAATATACACTCCTTAAAACCTTATATAACTTCATAAACGGATTCAAGTTGGAAGTATAAACTACATTAGATTTTAACTCAGTGATCTAAACATATTGTATCTGCTTCGAGATTGAATAGTCACAAATTCGATCACATATGAAGCGGTAAATTCACACTGTTGAGGAGTAATAGTCTCATATTGGAATAAAATACTAGTTCAGTGCATTCTAATGTCCTCAACAGTTCTACACCCGATGTTGTCAGTTTGAAATGAAGATGGCGAGACTAAAATTTATGGACGAACCAATTAGATTTACAATAACATGTCTTGGATTTTTGCGCGAAATTCATTCATCCATTTTATTCAATAAAGTTTTGGTATTATAGCTGATGTTAGTTTGTGATGGAAACCCTTAATCTAATTCCTAACCCTAACTATCAACTGTGAATCATAATCTATATCTTCCACATAGATTTATAACCCCTTTTTTGCAATAATAAGTTGTTGAACACTCTCAAGGTCACTTTACAGTTGCTCAAAAGTCGTCCATAAATTATAGTCTCACCATAAAGATTAATATCAAATTATTTATCTTTTTTTTCTAAATGGAATCTTTTTTTATCCATTAGATAATGTTCAATCGAAATTGTGTCACCCAACAACACCAAAAATAGACACAACACCATTAAATGAAAATAATTGTAATGTGTCCAATATGGATTTAAACAGTGTAATGGCATCATTTTTAAGCAAAGATTTTGGTAGTTTTCTTGATAATGATACAAATCTATGTAACACGAATGGTATTAATGGTGATGATAGTACTGGTCGTTTTCAATTGAACGAAAGTCGTGGTAAGTCGTCATTAAGTGTTTCATTATCTGCATGTATATATGTGTGTGTTTGTTTGGGATGAATCTTAAGCAACTCCATCATTTAACATTATGTTTATTGTGACGGGTTGTTTTTTACTGACTGATGATATCTGTTATCTAGGTGTTGTTGTAACCATGAGGAATCACACACTACTTTAACCAGTAAATACCGCAAACTAACTGAAGTTTTAAATGTAACTTCACTACATGTGCCCCCAAATGCCCTGGTACTGCCGAGAGTGGGGCGGACCCACCTTCACTCTCGAAATACTCTCACACGGCCACGCGTATATAGCCTCTGCCAGGGAAGTCCTACTCACTGCCTTCTCGTAGCGGGGGTGTTGTTTACGAAAATGACAGGACGAAAAGCGAATGTCCGGCGCTTTAACCGGATCCCAAATCAATGGTGCACATGGGCTGGCTCCAGTATCCTGAAGGAACAAATGGCGTATGAACCAATCGTTGGTCACCGGCTACCATGGGACTGCATCTCCTCACAATGCTCCACTGCCTTGTAGGTCAGACGTTCAGGTCAAAGGCAAGGGGTGTGGTCCCCCAAGAAAACCACCTGCTTCGGTTTGGGCACCCAGGCAGTATCACAGCCCTTACACAAATCAATTGAGATTCGTGTGGCGCATATGTATTTGGTGCATCCGTGTACCAATACCTATGTGTTAAAATAAAATAAAATAAAACATGTGCTAACTCACTGGTGTAAATGTAACAAGCTAGCTGCGAGGTGTAAAAGTTGTGGGTTCCATCTCTGATATTGGGATTTAGGATCTGTACTGTTGAGATATCCTATGCTTAAACAAAATAAGTATTCCCTGGATTTTTTGTTCTACTGTTTAGCTGAAGCTTCCCTCTTTAGTATCGACTGAAGATCTTCAGTAATGAAATGACCTAACTTGAAATGCACAATCTTGTACTGGTACTGTTTGATGTTCTGAACTCAATAATCTTCAAATACATGGCATACTAATACTCTTTCATGATGAATTTTTATTTCTTTTCTCCTTAATTTAACACACATTTACATTCGTAAGTATGTTATTTTTATTTTAACAGTCCCATCGAGTTCTCATTCCAATTTGTCCAAATCACCATTCAAATCAAGTTTATCTAGATTACCACCGGTATGTGAAAATTTATTTGTGATTTTCCCTACTAGTTTAAATCCGTCAACAGTTGATGTTTTGACATTTATAAAGGTCTTCTGAGAAATTAGTTAAGGCGTCTAACATTGAATCAGTCAAATCATTGTTTATAGCTCAAATGGTTATTATTGTGACTTTATAGCCCGCTAGTTATCACGTAATCTACTCGCCAATCAAAAACACGACTTATTCGCTTTTATACTGTACTAAACCAATGACGTTCGACAGGTCTGATCAGCCTAGCGTCCCTGTTGGTCCGTTGCTCGCCTAGCCCGTCCAGCTGAGTTCAGAATGCCAATAACAGCCTCCACTATGCGAATCATTTATTTCAGACATACTGGGTTTATATATCAACCAAACAGACCGCAACTCACCATAAAATAGGAAATAACATTCATACACAAATAAGCCAAAAAGTGTCTGTGAACGTGGGGGACAGTAATTAATAAACTCAGTATAACTTAGGAACAGTAAATCGTACAATAATAATAATAATAATAATAATAATAATAATAATAATAATAATAATAATAATAATCTATAGGTCAAAATGAAGCTTATAATAAGGGGAATATAGATATATATACCATCTAATTACTGATCAGTTATACAAAAAGAATATTTATAAAACATTAGTCCATTAATAGTCCTCGGAAGTTACCCGTAAGTTAATCTTCACTGGGATAATAACACCTCCCTTTTTTTGAAGATTCGAGGTTTAGATCCTGATTTTTTAAAAAATATGTGTAACTTTAAATTGTCTGACATTATCCTCCTCCACGAAATAATGTTGGATCCTCATATCTCCAAGTTACAATTAATATGTCTTTATTTAAATCATGGTTCTCGCACTGTATGGAGAATCCATTAGAAATGACTAGATGGTCATTTGATTTGAGGTAATTAGGATTTGGTTCTTCTGAAACACTTTCTTCGAATTTATTGCGAATCTCATTAATGGATACTAGGTCGCTAGAAAAATCAACATCTAACAGTTATATTTAAGTTTCGGTCTTATAACCTATTGGTTGAAAATTAAATATTCCAACCACCAAATTATCATTTGATTTTAGATCTCGTTTTGTTGTTCATAAACTTTCACTCAAAGTTGTAAATATCTATGTGATTTCAATGGTTGAGATCATGAGTCAATTAAAGCTAGACCATTATGGAAAACCTGGAAGCACTGGGGGGCCATTTCGTTCTATTGTGCTTCTAGATTTTCCATGGTGATCTAGCTTCAATTGACTCATGATCTAAACTATTGAAATTACTATAATATCTACAAAAAACCCCTTCTGATATAAATATCTATTGATTTTTATTTTGAACTTTACTTTTGATTAGAAACGTGGAAATCTACGTAGTGCCAATGATGATGATGATGTACTCGCTATTTAATCAACATGTGAACATTGTCATCTATGCTAACATTCAAACTGCACAACAGATATGCATGAATCTAAAGAAGTATATATACATATATATTACTTTTTATAAATGATTCATTACAATTATTCCTTTCCATTGCATTTTCATAAATATTTATTTATTAAATTATACTTAACTATGACTATATCCATACGAAACAAACCATATAAGATTATGTTTGTGTGTGTTTCCTTGTTCGATTCTTCCATTGTGGTGACTTGTATCATTTATCAATCATTTGGAATGTTACTCACCTTAATTGGTTCTAATGTTGTCTACTATAGTAAATAATAGATACTTGTTTGTAAGACATATATTTGAATATGATGTAATTCTCAGAAATATTCCGTATATAGATAGATACATATCTTTCTTGAATAATACTGTACTGCTTGCTCTGCAATACTTAATTATCATAACAACGTACTTTCTTTTAACCTGATCCTTGTTGCGGGTTCTACGTTGTAAGTGACTGACTGACTTTCCTTTAAGCACTTTTTCCTATAGTGTTGATAAACACACACATACACTGTTTTTACTCCTGTCGCATTACTCTATCACAATAATTATGTTGTCCGTACAATTGTGTTACTATCCAACGACGAATATATACACACACAAAATTGTATTTATTCCTTACAATATTAGTATTCTTCAACTTACTATATACATATTTATCTTTTATTTAAGTGAATGATTGTTTTATGCATCTAGTTATTATTATTATTATTTGTCATGCCTTAAGAAGAAACCCCGGTGGTGTTTGTTATATCGTTTTTTTTTCTATTTAAGCCATTTGTGCAATTTTGTTACATGCTATGTGTGTGTATGTGTTTATGTATCCACTTGTTTGTGCTTCTTTTTCTTTGTATACCTTTTGAAGGACTGATATATTTTTAAGAATCAGAATATGTGTTGTATTAAATCTTCACTTTACTCTTTGTCACACCTTTATCATGGTGATTATGGAAGTATATATTTATATACTATTGATTAGCTTTATTTATTTGTCAGTTGTGTTCATTTTCAACTTTTAAGGAGATAGGAAATATTTTCCTTTTCTTATCCATTGATGTTATTCTTGCTCTTGTTTCTTTTTTGGGAGGGGGCGAAGGGTAGGAACGAGGTGGTGTTGATTGTTCGAATAGTCAGTAACATCATTATTTCTTTAAGAAAGTTTTTTTTCTCACTTATACTTCAATCCATAATGTACTCACTATCGATATATATTTTAATTCCTTGTTGCCATATCTATATATATCGTTCTAAGTGTTTTCCGATTGATTGATTGTCATCATTGTTATTGTCTATGTTTTGATTGCATTTTGTCTTTTTAGTTCGAAGCCATTTAATGCTTTTCACCTATTTTGCTTCTTGGTATTACTTTCCAATGATTACCATATTTGAATTTTGTTCCCTTACTGTTTTCATTTGTATGTATGTGTGTGTATGCTTTGTTTAAATCATTAAAATATTGTCATATTTCTCTTTGATTATCCTTTTTTCCCTATGTTTCATATTCATTTCCGATTTAATGACATTAAGTGTTCACATATACCATATAAAGAGAGAATGAGATTATTCACGCTCCTTCTTTTGTTGTTTTTCACTATGATTAGAATCTTGGATTGTAATATTTTAAACAATGTTTTGATTGATTTCTGGTTGGCATGATCATTGCATTTTCAATTTCTCGTTTCTTTTCTCATCAAAATATTATGATGTAATATTGAGTGAAGTAGGTGTGTACACTGAAATATTGATTTGGTCTAGTTATCCAAATGGATTCCCCTGACTAATTTTTTTTCTCTCTCTTTAGTAAAGGTTAATTAATTGTAAAATGTAATACTACATTTATTTGATGTTTATGATTGAATTAGTTATTGTCAATACAACATTAAATCTATTTGACGAAATATCAGTATTTTAATGATATTTATATTCAATAGTTGAAATCATGAGTCACTTGAAGCTAGACCACCATGGAAAATCTGGAAACACTGGACGACCGTTTTGTCCTAGTATAGGACTCCTCAGCAGTGGTCTAATGGTTAGGCGCTCGCGCGCTAGACTGATAGATCCTGGGTTAGAATCTCGCGGGAAGCGAGATCGCGGATGCGCACTGCTGAAGCGTCCTATATTAGGACAAAACGGCCGTGAGTTGTAGCGCTTCAAGAATTGGAGCTCCTTGTGGATTTCTGCCCCGTTTGGTGGATCAATCGTCACCGGCTATGGAGGGCAGGACAGTTTGGTCGATATTGCCGGAGCAGCAGGCCAGTTGAAATACCCTTCGAAAAATTCTGCCCATCGTCCAAGACGTCGATGGATGTTAGTGATTGGCGTTCCGTCATCCTCGCAGATTGTAGGTATCATTACCAAGGTTTGATTTGATAATTTCGAATAAATTGAGCATTGGGTTGATTGTTATAAATAAATAATATATTTGTAATATCCCAATGAGTAGAAAATTAGATTTTCTGACGTTTCGTGACTTAGTGTAAGTCACTTCTTCAGAGAATAAATAACCAAATTAAAATTAATCCAAGTTTAAATAGTACAACGGAACAATGCAAGAATAATATTTGATCAATCAATCCCCGATTGTAGCCAACCTTTTTATGGCATACATAGAATCAAATATCTTCGCCCACAACATTATACCACGAATTTGGCTTAGATTTGTAGACGATACATTTGTTGTTATAAAAAAGACTCATCTAAGATCTTTTTCAAAACGAATAAATACACTTTCATCGCACATCAAATTCACGAATGAAAATGTACATGGTGAGCTATCATTCTTAGATTGCTTAGTAAAAAGAAATCCAAATGGAAGTCTAAACCTATCCATTTACCGAAAACCGACGCACTCAAATCGTTACATCTCGCTAGCCTTAAATCTTTTTAGAAGAGCTAACAAGATCATCACATCAGAGGAAGACAAACAAAAAGAACAAATGAATATAATCAACATCTTACAATTTAATAATTTTCCTTTGAAGATTATCAGAAGCATATTAAAACAAAACAGTTCATTACGTTATAATAATGATTCTAATGAAATGCCATGGATTGGTACTGCAGTTTTACTATACTGTCATGGCACAACAGAAGAAATCCAAAGAATCTTGAAACACCACAGAATTAAAGTATACTACAAAACAACGAACACACTACGTAATACTTTAGTTCGCCTAAAAGACAAAATCCCTTTCATTTACACACAGAACTGCGTCTACAAATTAGGTTGTATCGATTGTGATGCCTATTATATTGGAGAGTCATCCCGCGAAATCTTGACTAGAGCCAAAGAACATATTAGGTACACAAAGAAACCTCCTAACAATGCTGTAAAATTGAACCAACTTCAAATTAAATCGGCAATAGTAGTTTATGCCATTCTCAACAACCACCAAATCGATTTTAAAAATATCAAAATATTGCAAAAAGGCTTTTCCAACTACAAAGAAAGGAGGGTAGCTGAGGCATTCCATATAATGCTTAATCCTACTTCTCTCAACAGAAAAGAAGACCTTACCATACATCCTACTTGGACTATATATCCTAGCCATTCAGTCTGATCATATTTACAAATTCACACTATCATATTACAAATTTAAACTCTATCCTTTCTTACCATAAAGGTCACACAATTTTCATTCTTAAACAATGCACATATACATACACAAATTTACATACATATCACTTATGAATCACCTTGACAAAATTATGACATGACATCAACTTGTTCATATCTGTTTTTTTGATCGATCTCACATAATATTCATGCATTGTTCCGTTGTACTATTTAAACTTGGATTAATTTTAATTTGGTTATTTATTCTCTGAAGAAGTGACATACACTAAGTCACGAAACGTCAGAAAATCTAATTTTCTACTCGTTTGGATATTACAAATATATTATTTATTTATCCTCGCAGATTGTTCCGCTCACATCAGACATCTTGCTGCCAGTGGCTCGGATGAGTTGGAAGAGCTTCCGGTAACTACCAGATGTAGCTGCTGCTTCCAGCTCATTAGCACGCTCCAACCACCAGGCTTCTCGGTCCTTACGCAAGTTCTGCCCGATTTCATTACGTAACATCCTTCGTCTGTGGTCAAACTCACGGTCACCCGGAGTAGACCGACGGACTTCAATCAGTTGTAAGGAACCTGAAGAAACCCAGTGCTAGCCTTGAACCTAACTCGGTTTAATATTTAGTTGCAACAGAAGCCGCAACTAAGTTACTGACATATATCCGTTTCGGACGGTGAATTTGTTGTCCACTGAAAAGTAAGGTAAGATTGGTGCAGACCAGGGCATGATCACAGTCCAGATAGGTACTCCAAAAGGAGCGGCAGTCTTGTACACAGCCACGCCAGCGATAGCTGATCGCGATGTGATCAATCTGAGTACAGGCTTGAGATGAAGAGGGAGGATTCCAGGTGGCACATCGGTGATGACTCTGCCGAAAGTTAGTGCTAGCCAGAAACAGGTTGTGGTCTGTGCACAGTTGCAGTAGACGTTCCCCGTTATCTGTCCTGCGACCAACAAGTCCCCATCGGCTACCTAAACGACTCTCTTCTGTGCCTAGACACCCGACCTGAGCATTCAAGTCTCCAGCTAGTACTACAATATCTGTCGAACGCAGTTTCTGTTGAAGACCGGTTAACTAGTGATGAATCTCGTCCTTGATCTCATCCTGGCTGCAATCTGTCGGGGCATAGGCGGAGATGACGAAAAGACATCGTTTCTCACTCCGATTTCTTCGCACTTTGATGGTACTTCTAATCTAACAGCACATAACCGACTGTTAATGGGGATCCAATCGATTAGTGCTGCTTCAGCTCTAGCGCTTAGTGCGACACCAACGTCAGCAAGACCAGACGAAGATGCCACAGGGTCCCCGGATAAACGCACGTAAAACAAGCTTTTTGAGGCGACAGATGGAGAGCGAACTTGTAGTACT